ATTGATTTTCGCCATTCATTGATAAAAGATTCCAAATTAATGTGCGTGTGTGTGTGTGTGGACAAGTGAAAAGGGGATCCCCTGACAAAGCAATTTATTCATTTTCGTGATGTCTATATATAGTACCCCCGTTTTGACCAGAATGTCGTAAGGATCGAATAGAAAACCATCCATACGAATCCCAATCCCGGACAATGCAACCGTTCAGTGACAGTCTGAGCAAAAGTCGCGATGATTTGGCCAATGTCCCTGCCGCATCCCGGCAACAACAACAACTCTACGGCCGAAGGCAACACCACAGCAGCAGTCCCAATCTCTCCCTGGATCAAACGGACAATCTGCGGAGGAGGTGAGCACATTTGTTGGAAAGTATATAACTTTTCGATCCTGTAAATTATGTATATATAAAAAAACACCTCTTAACGAGGTAAAAAAGGAGTGATGATCGCACCCTCAACATACACAAGATCTGATATCAAATTTTGTGACGAAAAATTATAATAAATTTGACTAAATAAGTAGGGGAGAGTGGGGGAATTTCGTCAGCATTTTTTCAAAGCTATTTTTTGTCCATCTTGAGACACGTTATCATATTTCTATTTTTATTGTTGAATGCGGTTAGCACCAAGCTTTAAAATGTGACATTCCCCTATTTTTTTAATTAGCTTAATGATTTATAAAAAAATAAAATGTAAAACCAATATACTGGGGCAATCTCACCACACAGGGGGGTAAAATCACCACACAACTGGGGAAATTTCGTCACCTGAAAAATGTAGGGAGTTTAACGCCTGAAAATATGCTACACTGATCAAGCGTACCATTTTTGTTGACGTCCTATATTTGTTGCTGCTGCTGGTAGTCTGTTCGTTAGCCAGCTCGTCAAATATAAAAATATGTATTTAAAATAGGTGCGAATTTACCCTTAGCGTAGGGTGGCGAAATTTCCCCAGACCGTACTTTTTTAGAAATAATTATTTTTCTTGCGAAATTAGGCGCGAAGTTAAAAACCACTGACGCAGAAATGCACATTATAGCACTGTGTATTATATAAAAAATCGTGTATCTTATTCCTTTTGAATTGTGGCATACAGAAAAAATTTCGTCGAGAACTAAATGTAGCTTTTGAACTGTTAAAACACATTTAATATTATAGCTTAATTATCTTGGCCTTCTGTGCAAAACAAATGCATTGGTTGTGTCTGGCCGTCTTGAAGGACTAAAACAAAAAAAATTATATATTTTTACGACTTATGGATTCCGAGATATTGCAGGTGACGAAATTGCCCCTGTGACGAAATTCCCCCACTCTCCCCTATGTGTACTTTCTAAAATATTCTCATTCAGAAACATTGCATGACAACGGCGAATCCACTATCTGTAGCTGAAATATATAACAGGAGTATAAAAATAAATACATACATAAATTGGTATTTAATACCTTCTTCATCACTATGGACGGCAGTCCATGTAGTGACGAAGCGCACCAGGAGAGTGTGCGAAGGCGACTACTATTATATAGCCGCAAAATTGAAAATCTGCTGTGATAGTCCGATCGAAATGAGTAATACACCAATCGAAAGGTATTGCAAAAACTTAAAGGATTGCATACCAAGACTTTAAGAAAATCAATTGGCTTGGGAGAGAGAGCGGTGAAAGTGAAAAAGTGAAAATTTCGAAATTTGGAGCTGTTGGGGCCGGTGGGGATAAATGCCCCCTTGCAATGTTTTAGTTGTATTCCTTTTGAAAATACCCGTCGAATGAGGGGTCATTTGTCAAAATCCGACGCTCCGTTCAAAAGTTATAGCCAAAATAAGATTTCCTTCTTCTTCCCAAAATGAAAATTTAATTCTGTTTGTCAGTTTGTCAGTTTGTCAGTTTGTCAGTTTGTCAGTTTGTCAGTTTGTCCAAAACATGTTTCTTAAGTTTTGAAAATTAGATATGACGTTCATCCCATCGATATAAAAAACTTTTGTTCTACCACTTTTGGAAAAACTCGCTAGTTTAGCGGGAAAACAGCTATAAATAGCTAAAATTCGGAAAACCGTAACTTCTATACTACTAAAGCTACAGACTTGTGCTGCATCTTGTTTGAAAGGTATTTTTAAATGCTATAAACGCCTTCTATATGCAATTTGTGTAAATGTAATAATTAAAAAGATATGAACAAAAGACAATTTTTTAAAACTTTTTTTTTAGCTTTTTTTTATTTTTCTCAAAAACGGCTCTAACGATTTTCTTTAAAACTTTAAACTGTATAGCATTTAATGACGAGTGTAATAATTTTTCGTCACAAATGTTGATATCAGAACTATTGTATGTTGAAGGTGCGATCGTCACTAGTTTTTTACCTCGTTAAGAGGTGTTTTTATTTGATCCAATAAATGACTTAAAAACGCGACGTGGTTGAGTGAGGGTAATTCGACTTTAATTTTCCATACATATTTTGAGAACATCCCACAAAATCGTGCTTAATTAAGCGAAGTAATTGACCTTCAAGGCACACTGTAAAAAATGTTCACGTTATTCTGAAGTTAAACTAAAAGCTCGAAAGAAGTAAAAAGGTTGAAAGATCAGTAGCCATATATACACACTTTATTTAACAAACCTCGACACAAAGTAATCCTTATCTGATAGATAAATTTAAATCAAATAAAAACACCTCTTAACGAGGTAAAAAACAAGTGACGATCGCACCTTCAACATACAAAAGTTCTGATATCAACATTTGTGACGAAAAATTATTACACTCGTCATTAAATACACTTTCTAATATTTTCTCATTCGGCCCGCCCTAGCATACTATTTTAGCCTTTTTACCTTCATAGGCATTTTCTATTGCTGCGTGCCGAATGAGAAAATCTTAGAAAGTGTATTTAATGACGAGTGTAATAATTTTTCGTCACAAATGTTGATATCAGAACTTTTGTATGTTGAAGGTGCGATCGTCACTTGTTTTTTACCTCGTTAAGAGGTGTTTTTATTTGATATCAGAAGTTTTTGTTTGTTTATATTTGCTCTCATAGGAGCTGGTATATACATTTAAATTTAAATTGGTCAATCATAATTTGTAAACCATTGTATTTAAACAAATTAAGTTAAAATCCGTTTAAGTATTTCAAAATACCTTTTAAACGAGGTATAGCACATGTCTGTAGCTTCAGTAGTGTAGAACTTACAAACTAACGAAATTTAGCTATTTCTAGCTTTTTTTCCGCTAAAGCAGCGGGTTTTTCCAAAAGTCGTAAAACAAAAGTTTCCTATTTGGAACTCCTTAAAACAATTGAAATGATTCTATGAGCCTAAAATACAGTTTGGATACCCACGCACAAAATTAAACACTCAGGAAGCGTTAGTTGTTCTGAGCTGGCAAAAGTGGCTATTTTCGTTTCTGAATAACTTTTAAACGCGATTTTTTACATAAACATGATATATACCAAAATTTAAGGAATCTCAAGGGCTATACAGTTTAAAGTTGTAAGGAAAATCGTTAGAGCCGTTTTTGAGAAAATTAAAAAAAAGCTAAAAAAAAAGTTTAAACAAATTTTCTTTTGTTCATATCTTTTTAACTATTACATTTACACAAATTGCACACAGAAGGCGTATACAGCATTTAAAAATACCTTTCAAACGAGATGCAGCACAAGTCGGTAGCTTTAGTAGTATAGAAGTTACGGCTTTCCGAATTTTAGCTATTTATAGCTGTTTTCCCGCTAAACTAGCTAGTTTTTCCAAAAGTGGTAGAACAAAAGTTTTTTATATCGATGTGATGAACGTCATATCAAATTTTCAAAACTTAAAAAACATGTTTTGGACAAACTGACAAACTGACAAACAGAATTAAATTTTCATTTTGGGAAGAAGAAGAAAATCTTATTTTGGCTATAACTTTTGAACGGAGCGTCGGATTTTGACATATGTCCCCTCATTCGACGGGTATTTTCAAAAGGAATACAACTAAAACATTGCGAGGGGGCTTTTATCCCCACCGGCCCCAACAGCTCCAAAATTCGAAATTTTCACTTTTTCACTTTCACTACTCTCTCTCCCAAGCCAATTGATTTTCTTAAAGTCTTGGTATGCAATCCTTTAAGTTTTTGCAATACCTTTCGATTGATGTATTACACATTACGATCGGACTATCACAGCAGATTTTCAATTTTGCGGCTATATAATAGTAGTCGCCTTTGCACACTCTCCTGGTGCGCTTCGTCACTACATGGACTGCCGTCCATAGTGATTTCCCAATTTGGACGCTCCAACCTCAAACATCCTAAATGGATGGGTCTGGTTGTGTTAAATAAGTCAAAATAGAAATCGGAGCAAAATCGTTATTAAAAACGTTTATAAACATGTGCAAAACTAAAGGCCTGTGGTGAAATGATAAAAAGATAACGAGAGTAAGAAATATTTGCACACTAAACTAAATCATTCTCAAAATTTAGATAGTGTTTTTCTAATGCAAAAAATGTTTGTTCTCTTCACTTTCAATAAAATATTTTAAAATCTCGTCTTGTCAAAAGATTATACATTTTTAATGACTTGTTTTAACCGATAGCATGGGAAATACCCTTACATGAGTCCATAAAACTTTTTTGGGGTCTTTCCCATAGACGGTATCCACTGTAAGTGTAAGGGTAATGAAAACTGCGAGGTGCGCAAGTAAGAAACTTCCTAGTCGCACCTACAGCACGCTCACCTGTCAGTGTGTGTGTGTTTTGATCATGTGGTCGCCGCTATGGAAACTGGTTTTGAGTGTGACCAGGTGACAGCCTGGCTTGGGGAGACCTCGCATGGCAGGCCATCCTATACAGGGGCCAGAAAATTCGGTCAGTCTGACAACAACAATACCAGTGATAAGAGCAGATTGGGAGCAGAGTGGGAGTTGCACAGAGAGCGAGCGAGAGGAGAGAGCGCCATCCGAGTGCGAAAGCTGTGCTGATAGTGATAATGCGGAGCTTTACCGCTACGCTCCCGCTCGAGAGTCGCGATTTAGTTGGCGAAAATCAATCGTTTCCAACGGTCGCTCTTTGCGCGTGAAATTCGCGAGCCTGCCTTAAATTACGCGCGTGTATTTGTGTGTCAACAACAAAAACAAGACTGCTTATCGCCAAATCAGTTTGCAGTCGCTGTCTGTGTGTTGGTGTGACGCAGTTGTGCGAAATACGTGAAATTATTACACTTTTTTCCACCAACCAATAATCGACACTCTTGAAAAACCGCCAACGAAAGTGTTACGCGCTTCGTTTGTCTCTTTTTTCTTGTAATTAACAACAAAAAACCACACCAACTTACCTTGACGTCATTTTTTTTATTAATATACATCGGACGACAAAAAGCGCTTGTTGTTGCTTTTTTTATTGGTGGCTGCTGGTGCTTGGCACGAACTTTTAATCAAAAGTTAGCCAACTTTTGTTGTTGGCCCAGTGCGTAAACAAAAAAAATAAAACTGTTGGCCGAAAAGCGAGCGTAAAAATTTGCATTAATGCAGTCGCGGCGTCGCATGAATGAATGAAATTCTTAGTGCGCGACCACAAATTACGAAAGCAAACAAAATAAAAAAACAGAATATAAAGACAAACAAACCATGGTCTACACAATTCCGTTTTTTAGCCACAACGAGCCACCCGACATGATCATCACCAAAGAAAAAAGGTAAAAAACATTCATACACCCGAAAGTATCTCAAGATGCACTGAGTCACAGAATCTCAGAGATTCACCGCTGACCTGTGCAGAATAAGAAATAAAAAGACGGCCGACAAATATCCGCGTTCTATGAACCGCACGCCAAAGGTCAAAACGTGCTTCGCCCGGCAGCGCGCAAATTAATATTTGGCGACGGAATTTAATGCTTTTTCACAAATTCATAAATAAACGAAAGGTTTTTGACATTTGCGCGGCGAGTGCCGCTAACCGCGTGTAAGCAGGACGGCGATATAGTAAAAAAAATCGCATATATCTTTACACGGTGCGTTTGTGTTAACGATGCTTAACAGGTGAAGCTCGAAATGTCCAGGTTTCGGCTTTTTACACAAAAAAGGCAGCATCAAACAATGTGGTAAAATTAGTATGATTTTCTTAAAATACCTGTTGCATGGGTACTTTATATGTAGGTTTGAAAATGACTTCTTCTTAGGGAACTTCAGAGACTTAATCATCAAAACCTTTGGCAGAGGTATTCAACAAATATACATTTTTTATACCCTTGCAGAGGGTATTATGATTTCAGTCAGAAGTTTGCAACGCAGTGAAGGAGACGTTTCCGACCCCATAAAGTATATATATTCTTGATCAGCATCACAAGACGAGTCGATCTAGCCATGTCCGTCTGTCCGTCTGTCCGTCTGTCCGTCCGTCTGTCCGTCTGTCTGTTTCTACGCAAACTAGTCTCTCAGTTTTTGAGCTATCGGGATGAAACTTTCCCAAAAGTCTTCTTTCTATTGCAGGTAGTATATATGTCGGAGCCGACCGGATCGGACAACTATATCTTATGGCTCCCATAGGAACAATCGGAAAAAAAAAAAACTTTAATAAATTCTAGCTTCGGTGTTTTTTGAAATATTACCTTCTACTTTTGGGGATGTTATTTTTTAAATATATCTGAATTTCGAATTAATTAGTTAAAAAATCGGACTACTATATCATATAGCTGCCATAGGAACGATCGGAAAATTAATGGAAAAGTAATAGGAAATAAATTTTAGCTTCTTTGGATTTTATTGTATTATCTTCTACTCTAGGATATGACTCTTTTTAAATATTTCCGAATTTCAATTTTAATTTAATCAAAATCGGACGACTATATCATATAGCTGCCATAGGAACGATCGGAAAATTAATGGAAAAGTAATAGGAAATAAATTCTAGCTTCTTTGGTTTTTATTGTATTATCCCCTACTCTAGGATATGACTCTTTTTAAATATTTTCGAATTTCAATTTTAATTTGATCAAAATCGGACGACTATATCATATAGCTGCCATAGGAACGATCGGAAAATTAATGAGAAATATTAGAAAATTGAACATTTTTGCGATTTGTAAATTAATAGGAATGATCTGCAAGGGTATATAAGCTTCGGCTGGCCGAAGCTAGCTTCCTTTCTTGTTTATATATCCAAAACAGAATTTGAAGTACCCAAAACTAAGTCAAAACAACGAAATGTTTCGCATTTATATAAAATACATATGTACATGTATGGATGAGAATCTTGTTATACCCGTCACTCGTAGAGTAAAAGGGTATATTGTATTCGTGCAAAAGTATGTAACAGCTAACAGCTATAAATTTTATATATTCTTGATCAGGGTCACATGACGAGTCGATCCAGCCAGGATGGTCTGTCTATCTGTATGAACGCTGAGATCTCGAAAACTACAAAAGGGTTTTGGGTTTTCTACGCAGTGCAAGTTTGTTTCAGTCGAGGGCCACGCCTCCTCTTTCGCCCACAATATCCTTAAACGATTTTAAGAGGTGTCTAGCGCCAACATTTTTAAAGGTTTCGAAAAAGTAAAAATGCAGTTTTATTGTATGTTTCAATACCTATCGAAATGTAGAAGAAATTTTTTCAAATCAGATCATTCGTTAACAAGTTATGGGCGATCAAAGCTTTATATCTCCATTTCCCTCGCACTATCTTTAGCTGAGTAACGGGTATCTGATAGTCGACGCACCCGACTATAGCGCTCTCTCTTGTTTTCTAATGGTAATAAGAAGTGTTTTTTGTGTTTTCCTAAAAACAGTTACCAATATTTACATAATCATTTCAATTAAAAGTAGTCGACTTTAAGCACATTGTGTTCTCAGCTCTAATATCAATGCTAATGCCCAACGAAGTCTAAAAAGAACGGTAGATGGCTCTATATATGTATAAGCATGGCTGCATAAGTGTAGGTGTCAAGCAGGTGATTTCGCCTATCAGGCTTTCTATTTGGAGTTGTTGTGGTTTCTATGGCCATTCCGGCAGTGATAAATGATAAATGTTTTTCACCTGCTGCCGCATTTGCACTCCACCCCCTCCCCAAGCCCATTGTCCTGTGTTTGTTTATCTTATCGGACAAAAAAGCAAACACAAATTCCAACAGGAAGGCTTTTTACGTGTGTATGTGTATGCCAAGAACTGAAATTCAAGCGATCACTTCTCTAATATTTATTTGCGCGGGCTTGTTTTTTTTATCAAAGTTCGCTTTTTTGTGCCCCTTCACTGTGTCAGCACGAAAAATGATTATTATGGCGTGTGTAAACATAGAAATCGCGAAAAGCACTTTGATTATCATACGAACGATTTACTAGCAATAAACTATAGCATTTGCGACGTTCTTATTCGGTTTCGATTTTTTCGATTTCGATTGATGATGCTGGGTGCTGAGTGATTTTTTTTATCATTTACGTGTGTGCTCTCTACATATGAACACCGATAAGACAATGCTATTTTAAGGTTATGCGTAATCATCAAATTTTTAGCAAATTATTTTTTATTTGATAATATTATTTTATTTGATAATAATGGCGCCAACCAATATTTATAATTGCTTGATATGGTTTAAGGTCTTCAAAGTTAAATACATATGTAGTTTTTCACTATTATTTCAACTCAATTACAAAAAAAAAACAAGAAAGGAAGCTTGCTTCGGCCAGCCGAAGCTTATATACCCTTGCAGATTATTCCTATTAATTAACAAATCGCAAAAATGTTCAATTTTCTATTATTTCTCATTAATTTTCCGATCGTTCCTGTATGATATAGTAGTTCAATTTTGATAAAATTAAAACCGAAAATCGGAAATACTTAAAAAGAGTCAAATTCTAGAGTAGAAGAGAATACAATAAAAACCCACGAAGCAATAATTTTTTTCCTATTAATTTGCTTTTAATTTTCCGACCGTTCCTATGGCAGCTATATGATATAGTGTCCCGATTTTTTAAATCTTATTCGAAATTCATAAATATTTAAAAAATAACATTCCCAAGAGTAGAAGTTAATATTTCAAAAAAAAACACCAAAGCTAGAATTATAAAAAAAAATTTTTTCCGATCTTTCCTATGGGAGCTATATGGGATATAGTTGTCCGATCCGGCCGGTTCCGACTTATATACTACCTGCAATAGAAAGAAGACTTTTGGGAAAGTTATAAGCCGATAACTTTAAATCTGAGAGACTAGTTTGCGTAGAAACGAACAGACAGACGGACACGGCTAGATCGTCTCGTCTAGTGATGCTGATCAAGAATTTATATACTTTATGGGGTCGGAAACGTTTCCTTCACTGCCTTGCAAACTTATGACTTAAATCATACCCTCTGCAAGGGTATAACAAGAAAGAACGCTATAGTCGGGTGCCCCGACTATCAGATTCCCGTTACTCAGCTAAAGGGAGTGCGAGGGAGATGGAGATATAAAACTTTGATCGGGCATAACATTTTAACGAATGGTCAGATTTGAAAAATTTGTTCTACATTTCAATACGTATTGATAAACACAAAAAAATCTTACATGGTTATACCAATAAAAGCATCATCCAGTTTCCGGAATTTCTTTTTTATAATATAAGCTTAAAACAATTTATTTAACTTCTGATTGTGTTTCATCCGTTCCGGCTCACATAATTCCAGGGACTGACTTACTCAGCTGACAGCTCGTACTTGTACTTGTTTGTTCGTTTAGAAACTAGTAAAATTTAAAAACTTTAAAAATTCAGAAGTCGGTAAAAAATTGTAGTATTGACACTATGCAACATCTAAAATTTACCTCGATGGATGCTATATTTTTGTATTCGTTACAAATTCCCATGTTAGTCTGCGCTAATGCAATTTTGTTGTGTATATTTATATCTATCGAAATGTAGAAGACATTTTTCAAATCGGACTATCCATTAAAAAGTTATACGCATTCAAAATTGTCTATTTATATCTATCTCCCTCGCACTCCCTTTAGCTGAGTTACGATTATAAGTCGGGACACCAACCCGAGTACAGCGTTTGCACTCCCTTTAGCTGAGTGACGGGTATTAGATAGTCGGGACACCAACCCGACTATAGCGTTCTCTCTTGTTTTTACGTTAATTTTGTTATCCTTTCTGGCAGTTATAATATAGTCGTCCGATCATTTTTATAATATTATTCGAAATTCAGAAATATTTAAAAAAAGGAATATCCCAGAGTAGAAGAGCGTATCTTAAATTATTGGACTTAAGGCCCTCTACTTTAATTTCACTTTAGAATTTAAAGCTAAATATGCATTTCTATGTTTTTTTTGTTTTCACCTTAAAATTAAAAAAAAGCTTGTCAAGAGCCTATATATTATTTTTATTTAAAAACAAGAAAGGAAGCTAGCTTCGGCCAGCCGAAGCTTATATACCCTTGCAGATAATTCCTATTAATTTACAAATCGCAAAAATGTTAATTTTCCTATTATTTCTCATTAATTTTGCGTTCGTTTCAATGGCGGCTGTTCGATTTTGATTAAATTAAAATCGAAATTCAAAAATATTTGAAAAGAGTTATATCCTAGAGTAGAAGAGAATACAATAAAAATCAACGAAGCAATAATTTATTTTTAATTTAATTAATTTTCCGATCGTTCCTATGGCAGCTATATAATATAGTCATCCGATTTTGAAAAAATTTTATTCGAAATTCAGAATTAGATAAAAAATGACATTTCCAAACGTAGGATGTTATAGGTTCAAAAACACCCAAGATATAATTTTTTTACATTTTTTTTTCCGATTGTTCCTATGAGAGCTATATGATATAGTTGTCCGATCCGGCTCGTTCCGACTTATATACTAGACTTTTGGGAAAGTTTTATCCCGATAGCTTGAAAACTGAGAGACTAGTTTGCGTAGAAACGGACGGACAGACGGACGGACAGACGGACAGACGGACATGGCTAGATCGACTCGTCTAGTGATGCTGATCAAGAATATATATACTTTATGGGGTCGGAAACGTCTCCTTCACTGCGTTGCAAACTTCTGACTGAAATCATAATACCCTCTGCAAGGGTATAAAAAGAGACAAAAATTTAACATATGTATTTGATTTCTCCACAGCATTGCTTGCCTGCAAGATGAGTTCGGTCACCTAGGCATGGCCGCCACAGACCTGCCCTTTAAGTCCCCCGATCTGGACTCTCCGCCCCGGCTACAGCATCAGAACAACTATGCTGAGATCACGGACAGCAGTGCGGAAAACACGTGCCAACAGCGCTGGCCACCTCACGTGGGAGGAGCGGCGGCGGCCTTTGGGCATCCAGATAAGCCGATCGGCTGGATGTACGGACTACTCGGGTGCATGAAGCCCGTGCTTTCGTTTATCGGGAAGACAGGAGTGATCGAGGTTAAGAGTCAGCGGAGCGAAGACTGGCAGATTCCATTTGAGTCTATTACTGATTTGGAATGGCTTGGGAGCGGAGCTCAGGGAGCCGTCTTTAGTGGCAAGCTAAAAAACGAGATTGTGGCTGTCAAGAAGGTGAAGGAACTTAAAGAAACAGACATCAAGCATCTAAGGAAGCTTGATCATGAGAACATTATTAAGTTCAAGTAAGTATGAGGGTTGAAAACGTATCCTTCTTTAAATGGTTAAACCAAATTATGCTTTTTTAAATAAATTCCCATATTATTTAAATTTTTTTTTTTGTTGGTACTGGCCAAATTATTAAAAGCTTACATTATAAAAAGCAAAACAAAGCTGGCTAAGAATTTCTCAACTGCGCATATGAAATAATAGATTTTCTTCAAACTCGAGTTCCTCGTAGAGTTTGCCTTGGTTATCAACTGTGATTTTTTTTTAAATTTTTTGGTGTCCATTTAAAAAATGTTCTCAAACTTAAAATTAGTATATCTCGGGAACGGCTTAGAGGAACCACGTGCAACTTTACACGATTTTAAATGTGTACTAGGGAAATTAGGAAAATATTTTATTACATTTTTTGTTGTCCAAAAAGTATGAATTTTATTTATTTGAAATTAGGTTCGCGGTTTTGGAAGTCTTCTTCATCCTATAAAATAAACTAAACTATCCAAGATTGTTTATCTCATAACCAACTTAATTTACCAGAAGAAACATTTTTGTTCCTTTTCATCATTTCCAAGATATATAATTTTTTATGTGAATTTAAAAGAACTTTATTTACATTTCCAACGAGTACAATTCTTTAATGTTTATGGTGAAAGTTTGCACAACTCAATTACTCACTGATATTATGCACATATTAATATTTTGTTTCAGATTGTAATTTTAATTTTTCAAAGCCTACCTTCTTAACAATAAGAAAATCCATCGATCCATCCATGTATGGCAGCTATATGAAGGGATGATGGTTAAATTGTTATAATAATATTTGTGCATAATATCAGTGAGTAATTCAGTTTTGCAAACTTTCAGCTTAAGCATGTAAGCATCTTGTATAGTTGAGTTTATTTTATTGGATGAAGAAGACTTCCAAAACCGCGAACAAAATTTCAAATAATTTAAATTCATACTTTTTGGACAACCAAAAATTTTGTAAAATATTTTCCTAATTCCCCTAGTACACATTTAAGCTGTTCTCGAGATATACTAATTTGAAGTTTGAGAACATTTTTTAAGTTTTTAACTTCAAAAATTCATAGCGCCCCTAAATGGACACCAAACAATTTCAAAAAAATCACAGGTGAAAACATAAAGAAAATCTATTATTTCATATGCGCAGTTGAGAGGTTCTTATAAAAATAAGCCAAGAATGCATAACAAATAAAGCGGAAAATATTTTTTTTGTATACTTATTTTTCAAAATGATGCTCACAAAATGAATTCTAAGAATTTCTTTTATAAATTAAACATTCTTTTAATGACGGCATTAAAACTGTAACTCAGGATTTTGTTTTGGATATTTTAGGTTTCGATTTATGTATACATTTCCAATTAAAAAATAATAATATTGTTTAACTTTGCAGAGGAGTTTGTACGCAATCGCCGGTGTTCTGCATCATCATGGAGTTCTGTCCATATGGACCACTGCAGAATATATTGAAGGAGGAGCAAGTCATGTTACCGTCCCGCTTGGTTTCTTGGTCCAAGCAAATCGCTCTGGGCATGCAGTATCTGCATTCTCACAAGATCATACACAGAGATCTAAAAAGTCCCAAGTAAGTTATAAAAACATCGAAAAATAAACAACGTAATAATTGGTGTAATAATTAATTTCCAGCATACTGATTAGTACAAATGAAGTGGTGAAGATCAGCGACTTTGGAACGAGCCGCGAGTGGAACGAAATCAGCACCAAGATGAGTTTCGCCGGAACAGTGGCCTGGATGGCACCAGAGGTCATTCGCAACGAACCCTGCTCTGAGAAGGTGGATATTTGGTCTTATGGCGTCGTGCTCTGGGAGATGCTTACCTGCGAGATACCCTACAAGGATGTCGACTCGTCTGCTATTATCTGGGGTGTGGGTAACAACTCCCTCAAGTTGTTGGTTCCGAGCACCTGTCCGGAGGGATTCAAGCTGCTCGTCAAACTCTGTTGGAAAAGCAAGCCTCGCAACCGCCCTTCATTCCGGCAGATTCTTTCGCATTTGGATATCGCGGGCCCCGAACTCCTACGAAAAACAGAAAAGCAGTATTTTGAGACCCAAAAGTCGTGGAAAGAAGAGGTCCGATCGCATCTAAAGGAGATTACCCAAAATGGCACTAGTATACACAAGTACGAGCAAGATCTGATTAAGCGGCGCACGGCTGAGTGGCGACATGCCCAGGATATCCGAATGGTGTACGAGGATAAGCTGCAGAAGACAAACCAACTGTTCTTCGAGCTCAGCGAGTGTATGTCCCAGTTGCAGGAGAAGGAGAAGGAAATCGCAGAGTAAGTAAAAAAATGTGCCTTTAAAAAAAGTTTTTTTGATAACCCCCTAAAATTTTGCTTAGACGTGAACGGAAGCTACCTGGCAGTGGCTACAAACCGACGCGACGTTTGGGGAATACACTCAGAAAAATGCAGCACTATAGACGACGACTGAACGCTCCACCAGCGGCCACTCAACAACAATCAACGACGCCAGATCCAGAGACTACGCCGGAGGTAAAGAATACAAACTTTATTACCGACTTGGTATATATTTTAATTGGAGCATTTTGCAAAAATATGTTTTTATAACAAAGTACACTGAAGTTAAAATCAATATACTCATTTGTTAAGGCATCAATCATTTATTCTTGCTTTTTAGAAAGCAGAGCCTTAGAAGTCACCATTTGAAAAAGTTGCGAGGTGTTTTAGTTTTATTATAATCGATGCACTTTACAGAACAGTGGTCGAACCCGAGTTTTGGAAAGGGAAATTTCATGCCCAATGCATTTATCTGACTAAATATTTTTTGGTTTTAATGGTATTGTAGGGAATGACATTAATGTGGCACTCCGCGACATAGATCAACTAACGCATTTTTAATAGCAAAGGATTGGTGTCCAAAGAGTCAAATAAGTTTTGTTTTAAGTTTATATAAAACCCGAATTTATCCATTTTTCTTTATTCAAATGATATGGAATATTGAGTAAAAAATTACCATCTCTTTTCACAGTCTCCTGTGAAGTGTATGCTATATGCTCAATTGGATAGCAATTGCCAGCCCAAATCGTACCTGGCTAACATTATCCCAGGCAGTGGCATAGGCGGCACAATGCCCAACAAAAACAAGAAGAACTTCCGTCATCGCCGCAACGGTTCTGGATCCTTTGGCGCCCCACCCAAATACAGTCCGACGCGAGATCGTCGCTACCAGAGCGAGCCGGAGAACCGAAAGGTTCAGCTTGTGGAGCGGCAAACACAAACGGATGCCATGGATGTCAGCGAAACGGATATAAGTCCTTCCGCAGAGGCTCCTCGATCTCAGCCCATCGACGTGCCAGCTCCGAACCATCGCCAACTGCCACTACAGCTACAAAGGGTACAGAAAATTGCTCAGGCGCAGGCGAGGGCTCGGAGCGGAAGCACATCTTCCGCTGCTGGCGCCCTAAACCCCGCCTGTCCCTCGAACGGCAACTCTCTGAGCACCAGCGAGTTGACCTATCAGGATGCCTGCTCGAGTCCTGATCAACTCATCGACGATGTAATGAATAGCAACGAGCGTTTGGATATGACCGAGTGCTGCAGTGACAACGAAAACCTGGAGCGTCTGGGCCGAAAAGTCATCGAATTCATCAATGAGAACCGCCTGTCCATTCAGTCGAACACAAACTCCAACAGCAACACGGAGAATGGAAACGGAGGAGTCTCGCCGCTGGAACTGAGGGAGAGCGGTAACAGTCCATGCCTGAGTCGGTGCAGCAGCACGCACAGCAAACGACGGAAACAACCACTGGGGGACAACCCAAACGGCAGTTCGATAAGCAATGCTAACGGAGAGTCCCACGAGCAAGACAGCTGGTCGGATGAGGAGGGTGAAACCACGGACTACAAGTACGCCCTGAGGAGAAGGAGGTGAGTTTATAGGATTTATACAATAAGTTCAGTAAGATGTAACTTGTGTATCTTCCATTCCAGCTTTGGCCGCCTGCCCATTGCTCGTGGCATGCGACCCCGCCGCAGCTACAAGGCTCCACTGTCCCAGAAGATAGCCATCCACAAGCGCAATGTGGTCATAGTCTCCGACGAGGAGGAGAACACCTCGGAGTACAGTCACTCGCCCTCCAGTCAACACTCGACGTTAGAGAGCAACACGGACATTGCGGACATGAAGAAAACTCAGGCCACATCCACCTCAGCCAACAGCTACAGCGAACCCGACGACGATTCGAGTGATTCGAGCGATGAGGAGCAGGGAAACAGGGTCGCGAGAGCCAACGCTGAGGGCCAGGCATTGTCTATGGGCGCCGTGCGCAGCAGCGATATTATATCCATACCGACTTTTGAGGCTGATGGCGCCGTCAATATGGTCTAACCTAGTACGATTTCTAGCCTAAGTAAGAACTCCTAAACAAAACCCGAAACTAGAGTTGTCCACGTTACGCAGCAAAAACTATCTCTTATATATACTCAACGAGAAATCGGCCCAAATTGTATGGTATTATCTATGTTCATGTCCAGATCTGTAACTCCTCTTATTTATATGTACCCGTGTGAGTGGAAGACCGTCTCCAAGCGTTGACCGTTTCGGAGGATTCCATTTCAAAAACATTAAGACCTTTTGGGTTAGGGGCAATCTTTATTCGTGTCGTACTCGTATCAAATGCATTTCCTATTTTGCTGAATATAATTTTGCATTAGACTTAGTTAATATAACCATTATTCTTGTCCTTAGCGAGCTGCCTTTGTAATATACTTAAAAATGTCCTAATTGTATATTTAGTTTAAGTCATTAGGTATAATTTTTGTTCGATCGTAAGAGCTTAAACCGCAACACAAAAGAAAACCCAACAAACGCTCCCACAAAAACCGAACTACAAAGCAACAAAATAATAGAATTGGCCTCAGGCATTATATAGTAATGAAAGGGAAGAGGAAAAAATAGTCAGGGATATTTTTTATATAAGAAAATTTGCTTAGAACTTAATAGGAAAGTGTTTTTAAGAAGCGCATTGTACGTATAATTTGGTAGACGCATCGAATGAATGTTTCCCAATTATGCCGGGAACTAGGAATTTGATGGACCGAAACATCTTACTTTCTATATGCACAAAATTCCAAGCTTCAGTGCCTTAATGCAAACACAAAGAATAGGAGATATGTTTTGGAGAAACTAAACAATATAAACTCGTAGATCTAACCGCGGCTATGAAGTAGCCATGAGCGCTTTCTAGACCTTATAGACAACTTATGCAGCAGAGAACTATATATTTGGTCAAATACGTTTCGCCCTTCTGGAAATCGTTCATCAGCTGCAAAACGAATTATTATACACACTCAATATATATACATTCTATATATTTACACGCTAGTTGGATGTTTAGCTTCGTAAGATGTGTCGTTTCTTAATGTGCGACTTTTCTCTACATTATGTAAATGTACTCCATATTAAGATTAATTTTAACGACTCATACGAAATAGAAATAAAATGAAAATATGTAAGAACGCTAAAGACCTTGGGTTAGTTGTCTTTATTTCGGAATCAAGTACAGTAAGCATTTTTTGCAATGGTTCCGACATGGATATGTACTAATTGCATTAAAAGTAGGAAAGATTGCTCTTAAACCGATAAGAATCAGCATCAACGCTTTAATTTCTGACAGACTTTTACCAAACAGGTATTTAATTAATATAATTGACTTACTATTATTATTTAGGTTAAATATATTTTTCTTGAAATCATGAAACCAGCAAATATAGCTAACTCTAATTACGTTTATAATATTCATAAGCCTATTCACTAGTAGAATTCTCGTACCTCATAAAACCAAGTGAAGCTGTCGAAAAATTTCACTAGTCGATTGGCGTTTAGCTCTGAGAAGCCTAGCTACTTAAAATTTTATTTTTATGGCAAAGTACATTTTGAAAACTTTCTTTCCGATTGTCAACGAACCAACAGCTTTTGCATCCTTTTAGAGGGAGGATCCTCCATCTGAGTGCGCAGCATATTTAGCGCCTTCTCCTCCCGCGAGTCGATAATGTGGCACACTACCTCCGATTGCTTGCGGAATGCGATTAGGCCAGCAGTGCCGGTAGAGAGATCTAAGTGCCGAAAGCGATCGATATCACAGGTACAACCGTCGAACAAGTAGAACCACGTGGCTGCCGAGTCCGATCTGTGGGTGGGGTGATGTCTGAAGACCACGTAGTTGCCCCACGGCGTCATCGTAAGCACCCGATTGGCCACCTTGAAGGCGGAGCCCAGCACCCGGTTCAGGCTCTCCACGGTTCCACTCTCGGATCCAGCGACGGCCAGGAGCTGGGGCACGCGATTAAAGCCGGGAAATCTGAACAGCGATTCGTTTCCCTCCGTTGGATTCTCCTCGGGAAGTTCGTTGGATTCCCCAATATTCAGAGGGCCCGTCGGGAGAGGAGTTGACTCTACTTGGTCTAATTGGCGTACAAAATCCGAGACAGCGGGTGTGTTTAAGTGGGCGTGTTGTACCGGAGCCACGCCAAGACCATTCGATTTGTCCACGGATTGCTGGAGAACTCCAGTCTGAGCTAAGATTATCTTGGCTGATTCCTTAAGGGTGGACCCTCCTCTAGGTGGTTCTCTCTGCGGCAATGTGCCTTTATTGGGTGTCCAGCCATTTGTGTTCCCCTTCGTGTTTGTTACCTTAGTGACCACAGGCTTTTGATTGGAACTTTTGCTGATCGCATCGTGGGGGATTAATAGCTTGGCTGCGGTATGTGAAATAATTGTTCCCTTGGCATTAGCTACTTTGCAGGCCATTCCCTTCGAAGTGTTTCCTTTTGAAGAGCGCCTAAAAGCCATCTTGCCATGAGGAGAACCGTGGGTAGACTTGGAGCGAACAGGGGACTTGGTCCGAGCAGGCAAGGGAGAATGGTTGGAAGACCTTCCGGCGATTTCTCTTGGGGATTTTAGGTTTTTTTTCATAATCCTTACAGGAGAAGACCCTTCTCTAGATCTTGAGCGCACGGGACCCATGGCGGGAGAAGGACTGGATGACATTCCGCCAGTTTTCCTAGAAGTTCTTGTTACTTTTCTCAAAGTCCTGCCAGAATTAGACGCATCTTTAGATCGGGAACGTTCGTGAGACTTTGCGGGCGAATCCCCAAAAGACATGCCACCAGTTTGCCTGGGCATTTTGTTCATCATCCTGACAGGTGATGACCCATCTCCAGATCTCAAAGGTAAAGGGCACTTGGACGGAGAATAGTTGACACCAATTTCCCTGGGGAATTTTATAATCTTGCCAGGAGATGTGGAAATTTCAGGTATCTTATGGGGAGAAGGAATGGAAGACCTAGGTCCAGTTTGCCTAGAGGATTTCAAATTTTTTCTCATAATCCCGCCTGGAGATGACCCTCCTCTTGTCTTGGCATGTTCAGGAAACTTTGGGGAAGGATAGCTTGGACCCATGCCGGCAGTTTGCCTGGAGGATTTCACATTTTGTTTCATAATCCTGCCACGTAATGGCACTTCCTTAGATGTGGAGAGTAAAGGGGACTTTGCGGATGACTGGCTGGAAGATCTTCCGCCAGTTGGCCTATTGAAACTTGGAAATTTTCCTTTCACTGCCTCATTTTTGGCGTCCTGGATTTTCCTAGAAGTTTTCTGTTCCAACTTCCTCTGATTCTCCTGCTCCTTCTTGAGGAGGGACATCTTGGTTCGTGCAGAGGCTCTGCGACTAGTATTTTTGCAGGGCTTAATACGACATTCCCGATTCCTATTTTTTATTCCCATTTGCGATTCGGCGTGGAGCTCAACCTCCTCCTCGCACATCTCACCCTCTGCCCCTGCATTCTGACGCTCATCCAGGAACCGGAATTTCTCAATGTCGAATTTATCCCCTGTGCGACTAACCACATCGTCCTCAAAGTCGCTGATCTCGCCCAGCGATTTATCACAGATACTTACCCCTTGTTGCTCATTGAACAGGATGGGTTCGTTCAGGGACTTCACGTCCTGGTTGTCCACACCCTCGGGCAACGGAGCCAAAAAGTATCCGTCAGGACACTCGGCGAGATTCCGGATGCGCACTACGTGCAGATAGTAGGCCGTCTGCCGGTTGGACTCCTTCAGCAGCTGGTGGAACACGCTGAGCATGGTCAACTGGTCCCGGAACATGCGCACTGTGGCCCACTTGGCGCCCTTTGCCTGGTCCTCCGCCACATGGGTGCCCACGATCGTGTGGCGATAGGGATCCAGGAGGTAGTAGAACCCATCCTTCACCCAGATGGCGTACATCTGATTGCCGATCTGGAACACCACGTTCCCGAACTCCCCGAGAGCCTCCGAGACGTGCGCTTCGAAGTCCGTGCCAATGATGCGTACGCCACACTTCCAGTGGCCAGTTCTCACATTCGGAATCAGCTTCAACTCGAGCACATACTGCCCCATCCTCAGTTGGGTGGGAAAGGTGTCCAGGTCAATGGGTCGTCGGTCCCTCAAGCAATCCGACCAGCAGTTCCGACACAGCTCCACTCCGTAGCAGATTAAACGGTCCAGCATATTGGTGTCCCAGTTGGCCGGGTGGTCGATTTTGCTGGCCAGGATCGAGCCCACGGCCACCATTAGGCTGCTGCGGTTCCGCACCGGATCATTTTCGTTCAGAGAGAGGTGCAGAGTAGCCTTCAGATAGGCATAGCTCTTGTTCACCACCTTGAATTCGATGGATCGGTGGCTAGTGTCGCGCATATAGATGCGTCCGTCGGGGGTCTCCAAGCGCACGACCACCAGTTCGCGAATGGTGAACTCGTCTTGGGGCGAAATGCCACTCAAGTTGCTGGCCAGATGGACAACATTGTCAATGGTTTTCAGGCACACCAGCATGGCCACTCCGTTGGCCTGGACGGTCTCCAGGTCCTCCTTCCTCCTGCCCTTCACGTCCAGGACAAAGAACACTTTTCTGCGCCGCCAGACGAGCAGGTGGCCAACTCGGGTCAGGAGCAGACAGTAGCGGCTGGACTTGAAGAAATTCAACAGAACGGGCCCTAAATTGTTAATGGTATGCGAGGGCTGCTGCTCCAGGGGCTTCGATCCCGCCCCCAGATATCGGGGTTCCAGTGCCAAAGTAAACGTGTGCCCTTCAAGATTAAAATTCCTCCTGATCCGCTTCTCCTCGTTGGTGTAGATCTCCGGCTCGAGCAGCTTGTTCTCATCCCGGTCGTCCTCACCTCGATCCACTTCGGAGCTGGCCCGGAACAAATCGGTGCCCTCCTCCAGCAGCATGTCGATCTTCTCTGCCGTCCAATCGACTTCCGGCAGGACATAGATCAAGGCAAACGCCTTCAGGTAGGTGGCGAAATTGAGGACATTCGCCTCCTGCTGCATCGGAGAACTGCCGCAGGGATTGTTCAGGGTGGCATTCGAGCAGACCAGGCCCACGGGACTGCCCAAGGAGTCGGCCTCCACCTCCGAGCGATTGGGCACCTTCTCGCAGAACTGCCAGTGATCGCAGCAGGGCTCCCCCTTGGAAGATCCTCCGGCGTGGAATTTGCTGCCCAGATCCATGTCCGTATAGCTGATATACCTAGGGACAAGGAAGGATCAGTTTTCGACAATCACCGCAGTGTGCAGCGCTACCCACGTATTGCTCGACCGGCTTTTGGCAACTCGAGGATAACAGCTCGGCGTGCTGGCCAAGCGGCGCAGATCCTGTTGGCTGACTGCCATTCTCGGATGTCTGAAACTCTAATTTGACACAAACAAAATTTTTCCACCTTTTTCCGTTTTTCTTTTACTTGGAATTTAGTTCAATATTGCAGAAGGGAAAATTTGATTACTAGATTAATTTGTAACATACAGTGGCTCACAGCTTATTTCGTGCAGAGGTAAACTTAAAATTCAAACTTGTATAGCTTACAAACTATACGATAATTTACCAAAATTTAAATGCAGTAATGTTAGGAAGTATTCTGGCCCTTATTAACCCACTTCTTTATTTTTAGATTCCATAGAATAACACTTAAAATAAAAAAATAAAATCATTGACTTTTTTAATGTCACAGCTTATTTCGTGCAAAACTTTAAATTTATTATTACTTGTAAATTATTGCTAAAAATGTGTTTTTTTTTATTTCTACATTGAAGCGCCTATTACTAACAATTTTTTTTTTGAATTTTAAATTTGTCAAATACACGAAAAAAAAGGATGTACATTGTACATACGGTAAGACAATATGAAAATATGTATATGAACAATGTATACTTTTTTTTACAATTTTTCTTTCTGTTATGTATTAAGGAAACCGAAATGCGAAATACATGGGAGAGTGAGAGTATGACCCTAAAGTTTCATTCAAACTAAGGCCAGCCTAATGTATATACATACATACATAAGTATGTAAACATCGGTTTAATTCCGACAGTCGATACGAACGTGTGCTCTTCAAGTAAAACCCTTCAAGTACCCGAACTTATCCTTCTTGTAAATCTATTAATAGTTTCCTTATCAGATCGAACAATTTGGACCAAGGTCGTCACACCAACAATTCGCCAAAAGTTAAAAATGCTGAACCCATCTTCAAAGAAGCCCCCTGCACCTGATGGGAAATACCTCGTGATCACCAGATCGGACAACGACTCATTTTGCAACACCTCACCGTTTATAATCAAAAAGACAATAGACTCCGCTATAGGAGAAGTCGCAGAGTGCACGAAAACCAGAGACGGAAACCTCTTGATTAAAACGAAGACCAAAATCCAAGCCAAAAAACTCTTGAAACTTACCATAATGCCCGGCAACATTCCCGTCCAAGTTTCAGAACATCGATCGCTTAACTCCTGCAGAGGAGTTATATACTGCAGCGGCCTGAGAGGAATTCAGGAGGCAGAAATACTGGAGAACTTAAAACCACAAAACGTCGTAGCAGTTAATAAAATTCGTAAAAGAATTTCTTCGGGTGCAACCGACGAATCGGGACTAATAATTCTAACATGGTCTTTACTTAGTCTACCGAAAAATATCAACATTGGTTATGAAAAAATCAAAGTGCGGGCATATATTCCACAGCCAAAGCGTTGCATGAAGTGTATGCGTATTGGACATATTGCGAAGTTCTGCAAAAGGGAAGGAGCATGCCCTAAGTGCAGCCGCCCAATTCATGCCGACGATATGAGTGGAGAAGAATGCCAGGAAAATCCAAGTTGCATCAATTGCCTAGAAAAAAAGTACCCCGACAGCAGTCACCTCCCCAGGGATAAGAAGTGTCCAGTCTATATAACCCACCAGGAAATACAAGAAATACAGGTCTTGCAAAAAGTGGACAGTCGTAAAGCCTGGTCCATTTACAAGAAGAGACGTCAAACCGATGCTTTTTCCAAGTCCAGCCAAATAAAATCTCATGAAGAACAGAAGTTACAACCAAGTTTAACCAAATCATCACCATCAACAAGGAACTCCGAAGATAATGATGCTATGTACCCCACCACCATCAGCTCGGAACAAAATTCCACAAAATCTAACCCTAAATGCACCATATACCCCAAAAACCTATCCAAAAAAGAAAAAAGGTTACTAAAATTAAAAACCCTATCAAGATAGAAGGAACTTAAAATCTATCTAAAGATAGCAACTAACCCAACCGGTTACATTCTACCTAACCCTATATAATATCATTCAATCATTCAATATATTAAAAAGAAATATGAAGAACTCTTAATACAATCGGAAAGGAATTTATAACCATCCTTATCAAAATCAACATTGAAATATACCATACATCATCTATGTATCTAATTCTTACTAATTCATAAGTCTTTGCAACACAGAAAAATCCCTACAGGGCATATGTATATTCAAAGCCTTTTTTCGTTCGTTTAACGATCCAATTTCTAACTAGCTTTCTAATGTCTAACAGGTACATATATTATAATTAGTTGATTATTATTTTATATGAAAAGAATAAATTAGTTGATTATTATGTTATACGAAAAAAATAAATCCTTTTTCACATCAACAATTGAATTTAGAATTTACAACATATTATGGGCAGCTATGGTAAAAATTACGACCGAGTCTGTATGGTTGGTATTGGGTGTTTCCACAATAAACTTTTTGCTTGCATTATACAAACAAAATCAAGATATACTGAAAGATTTCATTCTGCAGAAAAGTCACAAAGAAAGCATACTATTTACGAATTAATTTAATGTATACATATATATTTAACTTGTTTGCTTTTATAATTAGTTACTAAAATAGGGGGACGAGGAGTACTACGAGTGTCCGAATCGAGGATTCTCTCAAGTCGTCGACCATAGCAGCGTGTGTTTGTGTGAGTAAGAGGCTGAGTGTGTGGGTGTGGTCACAGTTTGGACTGCCGGCAGCTCTCAACACTCCATGGCCAGGGAGTTGGAGTTCTCGTTCAAGGCCTTGATGCCGTTCTCTATGGGCATGGCCAGGCTGTTGTCGTCCTCCGGCTGGACAACGACTGACGCCGCCTCCGAGGTGGACGGCCCATCGGTGACCATCTCGTCGTCGTGGCCGTTCTCCACGCCGTTTCCGTTGCCGTTGACGTGCCCGTAGTCCCAGTTGATCTTGAAGCGGGTGACACGCGGCTTGCTGGCCAGGATGTTGCGCGTCAGCTTGTCGAAGAGGGGCTTTGGTGGCGGGTTCTCGCGCATCTCTGGATCCGCATAGTCGTTGTTCACGTAGTAGCCCACGCGGACGAACTCCTGGCCGCGATAGGAGCAGGTGAGCAGCACAATGGTGACGCCCACTGCATCAGGCTCCGGGATCTTGCTGACATCCGGCGGGTCCGCCTGGAAAACAAAGATGTGGCGCCCCTCGGGCACCGGACCCACGTATATGGTGTCCAGCACCTGGTCGTGCTCCTCCGACTCGGCGGAGCCCACGTAGATCATCTTCCACTCGAGGTCCTCCTTCAGCTCCTCGATACACTCGAACGTCAGCTCGAACTGGAAGGGATTGAAGAAGCTGCTCGGGTTGTCCAGCACCACCACATTGGTGATGTGCACCTTGGCCATGGTGACTGTGACTGTACCTCGCGGTTCGGAAAATGTAGACCGAGTTTTTCCAGACGCCTCTTACGGCGCGCTTTTTTCAGCAGGTGCTGCTTTTGTTTCGGTCAGGAATTTCGTTCCCTGTCGAAATTTGCCTGTTAAATACCCGACAATCACTTGCTATTCGCGATGCAATGCTAGCTGATTGTTTGCGTAATATTTTGGATCAGGTTTGTGTTCTTTTCACTTGGTAATTTCCGTTTATTTGTTGCAAGAAGTTCGCTTTCTTCTTTCTTTGCTCGCAAAATTTGTGATGACAGCTGACGGCTTTCCCGCGCTTCAGTGTGACCGTTTTCCGACGCAAGTGGTGGCGAAAAACTCACCACAACAAGTGACGGAATGTCAAAATGCAACGATAGTCGCCTTCGATAGTTTATTGATGGTTTGTAGGCTGTTCAGACAGGCCGTGTTTCTGCAAAACATTCCACAACAGCGTGCTAAAAAGAAACGGGAAAGGTCGGTGCAAGTCGGAAATGCCTGTTGAATTTACTTAGTGTGTTTCGGCAACAGCAAACAAATTCCGCTACTGCGCAATTATTGTGTTTTGCTCAGAGGGTATAAGTTGTTCATATTCGGAATAATTGAAAGTAAAAGCCTTTCTGGAACTCCTCCTGAACAAATTTATTATTATTAATGTTTAATCATGCAGTTTTGCAACCAAATTGTTTCTTGTTGTAGCAATTTATCTTAAAACTTTAAGCGAGCGCGAGAAAGAATTAAATATTTTTGGCTGCCTAACCGCTAACACCAATAATCAAGCCAAGATATCCTAACTCGGTTGCCCTTTTTTAAAATCACACAAGTAAAAAGTTGTCATAATAAATTTACGCTAATAATTACAGGTGTCATTTCAACCCTAACAACTCAAATAATATTCCCTAAACTTTTAAATTGCTGATTTGTTTAAATTTTTTTTTTGTATTTTGAAGTAGGCATTTGATTTTTCGCAATTTAAAAACCAAATCTAAAATCACCAACATTTTTAACAGCCTCGAGGTTGTTGAATTGCTGAAATTTCTGAAAGTTGAGTTTTGCATGGAACACCTGATTAACAGCTGACCAAAATTCAACAATTCAACAGTTTAAGGAATACCTTGGATATAAATATTTTCATTCAAAAAATATCGATATATTGATATTTTTATATATTTTTCACATCCCTACTCTACTCCCCAATTTGTGGTGCTCTGATTGGTGGAACTATTTTTTTCCTGCCAAGTCAAATTACCAAGAGCTCTTGGTTTCTTTGTAAATAGTAAAGTAATGCTGCACCTGACGGGCCAGAGCTACAATGCGCGCGACATAATCCGGAACATCTTCTCCCCACTGATAGGCGTGCTGTCCAGTCCGCAGGCGGATGAAATCTGCCACCGGAACAACCTGTCCTTCGTGGAGCTGCTGCAGCCGTTCGCAAAGTTGCCAAATGATGGTGGGTGAAGTGCAAAGTGGAATGGGTGGGATGTAAATGGTAGTTCGAGTGAGGTAAACAAGGCACAGTTGGGACCAAAAAAATAGGCAGTTTCTAAGACGATTTGTCTCGGTTATCCAACATTTGGCATTGTTTTGAAAACAAAGAAGACTGCATTTATTTGGTATTTGTAAGGCAACTCCCAATTTGTGTATCACCATCCTTTAGCGCACTTTCGCGACGTTTCCGGGACGAGCGTATCGGTTCGAGGACTCCGCCTCAACTTCTGTGATGTGGACTGGCGGCCGCCCCAGACAGTTTTGGCCAGGAAGATGCTCAACGAGTCGGTGACCAATGCCCACAATGACAAAACCAGACTGGCCACTATAGGTAAGTCATCTTTTGGGTGAGCATGAGGCTTTCTGCTAATTTAGTTTTCCCCCTCCCCCAGCTGACATCGACCTCGAGTTGCCCACCTCGGAACCTTGGTTCGAGCAATGGCGGGAGACCTTTTTGACTGTGCAATTCCCGGCGGATCATGAGTTCACTCGCCACCTACTGAGCTGCCTGCTGGTGCTCTCCAGCACGGATCCGCAGATCGTGGAGACGGCCCACAAACTGGGTCAGCGTGTGCAGCAGATGCAGAGCATCACGCCGCAGAAGTTGCCCAAGTGGTTCCACCCCACCGAGGTCCTCAATAGCTACGTTGTGCTGCACGAAGCCAGCCAGGGGGATTTGTCCAAGGCGCAGCAAGGATTCGAGCTGCTCAAGTCCACCTTCGGGGACAGCAAGTGCTTCCTGGTGTCCATTAACTCGCTGGACGGGCAGACTGCTGCAGAGGTGCCAGATCATTGGGCTACATTCATTAAAAGGCAACCGAAAAACGATGCGAATCTACCCTCGACGGATCTGAGTGCACCGAAGTCGCCCCAGGAAGCTGTTTCTGTCATCAGTATGCCAGCCATGCAGATGTCGCAGCTCCTGGACGGAGCTAGTGCCCAGGAAAGCGACCTGGCCATGCTGCATCCGCTGAGTCCAATGCAGGAGAGCGCTACCGAGGCGATTAATTCGAAATTCAGCATCAGCAGCGAGAGTATCGCCTCGCAAACCATAAATCCCAATGTGTGGGCGAATGAATTGGAGGCGGATGCACCGCACGGCATTTGCCTGACCAATCGGGACATCGACAACCTGCGGCACTTTGTGCAGGACTACGCCGTTCGTGCGTTGATACCCTATATTGAGCATCTGGTGGCCATTCTGGCCGAGGGAGTGACGAACAAGAAGGGCGTTAGCAAGTCCCTGTTGAGCGCCACCAAACGGTGGTTCGTCACCAGCAAGCCGGGGGCAGGAGCAAACAATCAAAATGCAGTCATGTAAGATGTTCTTTTTATATTTTAAAATGCCTTTTACATTTTAAACATCATGTTCACAGTTACACCAACGAATCTGCGGAACTACAAACTCGAAAGTTGGGCGATCTCTATTTCATGTTCGGGCATTATAATTTGGCTTTCCAAGCCTATCATCAAGCCAAACGGGACTTTAATGCGGACTCTGCCTGGCAATACTACGCGGGGGCTTTGGAAATGGCTGCCCTATCCGCCTTTATGTTGGGCACTGCGCAACGGAAGACCTACGACTACATGGAGGACGCAATTGTCTGTTATCTCACAGTGTGCAAGTATGTTACTTCTGCGGTTTCTTGAACTTTCCCAGCGTTTTCTGATCATTTTGATATTTCAGATTGCAGCAATTTGCCACGAGAGCAACGCTCCTGAGTATGGAATGTCTGAAAACAGCGCGGCTTTATAGTGAAGTGGCTAAGCAGCTAATTCGCATGACTAATGAGGAGTCAGATCTTCGGTCAGCCCTATTGCTGGAACAGGCGGCATACTGTTTCCTGGTGACCCAACCGCCCATGCATAGGAAGTATGCCTTTCACATTGTGCTGGCCGGCAATCGTTACTCCCGAGCTGGCCAAAGGAAGCATGCATATCGTTGCTATCGCCAGGCCTACCAGGTCTTCCAGAAGCGCGAGTGGAGCTTGGCTGAGGATCACATTCAGTATACCGTGGCTAAGCAGGCGTATATGCTGAAGCAACTTGAGGAGGCCAGTCGATCCTTTGCCCATTTACTTAGACCCGGAAGTCTTCAAAGTGCGCAACAACAGACCAGTTTCCTAAAAGAGTATATTCAAACGCAAAATGTAAGTTGAATGTAGTTTAAACCATTTCTTGACATTATAAAAATTAGTTATTTTACATATAAATAACTACTATTATCCTATCTCACAGGAACTGCAGAAGCGAAGTCCTGAGCTGGGCTTACTACCACATGCCTTACCCCAAGTAGTGCAATCTTCCGTTCGTGTTCTCACCCTAGTGCAATCACCATCGTCTTTGGCAGCTCAGGTGCCGGCCACCAACATAGAGATTAACTCCAATCTGACGGCCGATGAATCCATTTGGAACAAGATTGAGGAGATGCTCGTCATCACGGCTGCCAATAACAAGCCATTTGTGTTTAAGCCCTCTAGATATTTGTACACCAAGCAGCAGCCTGCACTGGAAACTCCCGTTGCGGTGCAGGGTGAACCCATCGAGCTGGCTGTGACCCTCTCAAATAGCGTTCGATGTGGTATTGCCCTCTCCGAGATAGACCTTCTGTGGAAACTCACTCTGGACAATGACGAGGTGCTCTCCAACGCTTGCATTTATGAGGAATCATCGGACAGTGCCAGCAAAATAGCTGTGGGTGCGGCGATAAAAACGAGTTGCGTGGCCTCTATTAAACTGGCCGAACAGGCCGAGGAAACTTTGCACTTTAAGCTGACTCCAAAGCTAACCGGACGCCTGAATGTTCTGGGAGTAGTTTGCCGAGTGGCAGCCAGTGCGGATCCTGCAGCCAGCCTGCTGGGTACCCTGCAGTTCGAAACGCAAAGGATCAGACCTAACAATGCCAAGCAATCCTCGCAAACTGTTTTGGACAATAGATTAACTATTAAGTTGGTGCCCCAAGTGCCTGCCATGAGTGTCAGCTTTACTCCTGTTCCCAGTCGCCTGTTGGCCGGTGAAATTATACCAGTTCAAGTGACTCTTCGCAATTTGGGCATCGCTCCGATTGAGGAGATCTACTTGGGCTGCGACAATCCGCGCTGTGTCTCCCTCGTGGATCAGCACAGCCAAATGCCACTGGCAATGATGAGTTGTGAGTAAACACTAAATCGTATTCTTACATTGTCTTAAGTGTTCCACTATAACCGTAGCCCTTCGCAATCTGTCCAATGACAAGCTCGTCAAAGACAAGGAAATACGTGGACAACGAGTGTATCGACTGCTACAACGCCCTGGACAAGCGGCCCTAGATGCCCAGCAGGTTCAAACCATATCCATCTGGCTGCAGGCTCCACACCAGGCTGGTCCCTTCACTCTGCGCCTGCTCTTCTACTACTCCTTGCCAGCAGGAGCAAGTTCGCACATCAAATATCGCCTAGTTCGGCATATCTGGCAGCTGCAGGTAGAAAGTTGCATACAAGCCGACTCCACCTGTGTGGTTAGCAATGTGGTAACTAATGAACTGGGCCTGGATGTGAACGTTAGGAATCAGCATGCGGGCGATGCGACGGAGGTGTATGTCAACTCGATTGCCTTGTACTCCAAGGAGTTCAATTTGAATCCAGAAAAGCTATACTGTGAGTACAGAGAAATGTTTCAATGGGTTAAGTGAATGGGAAGTCGGAATGCTTTATTGAACTCGATTTTAATTTAAATATATTTTTTTATAGTACTGAACAGTATGGGAGTCATCCCAGGACAGGCGGGAGCTCAGTGCCTCAAGTCTTCCATTTGCTGCAATTTCCAGTGTCGCCTGCAGGAGAGGGACACAAAAGAAGAATTCCAAGACATTCCATCGATCAAAACCCTGCTGCAATCGCGAATATCCCATTTGAAGATTCTGCCTGCCCAGCACGCCCAGCAGGTGGAGCAGCACATGCCCCCGATATACGAACCGCACAGCTTCCTTACTAACGAAGAGACGGTGTACTTCAATATAAATATCTCCACCGAGGAGTTTAACGCAAGCATAGCTGGCTACGTGCCACATGCTACTCTGGCCATAAGTTGGAGTGCACTGGTGGCCAGGGAGGAGGGACAGCGCCTGGCCTGTGGCCTGCACTTCATTAAGCTGTATAGACTCTTTGAGACGGGACACTGTCCGGCGGCACCGATAGGACCTTTCCAACGGAGGAGACAGTCTGCTGACGACTCCATAAGTAATCAGCGCGAATTCCCACTACCCGAGGGAGCAGTCAACAATGAGGAGGCCTGGCAACCCCTAGCCGAAGCGGATGAAGAGGACTATTGGGAACCCAACGATAACTATGTGGGCCAACGGTGTCTTCTGGAGGATGAAAGCTTTGTGATGGCAGTTAAAGCCTAAAATGTTCGTCAGCTTGTCTGTAAATCATTACATGTTAATTAAAATATTGGAATGTGTTTTTAAGTATTTTCGTCAAGTTACAGTTTTCAAAATTTATCAAACTGACCGGTAGTTGAAGGCCTATATTTCCTTGATCTGAAGCCACGTCTTAAAAAATGCAGATCTGATCTGATCTGATTTCAAGGCAGCAAATTTCAATCCCTTAATCGCTTCAATCCCCATCTAATTAGAGTTAGGTATTAAAACAAATATAGGGGCATACTTAAATATATATTTTAACTTTTTGAAATCTTATATTTTCCCATTTAGACGTGGGAACAAATCATGGGTTCTTAGAAGTTTCTCTTTTCTGTCTTTAGCGCTTTGTGATTAAATTCATAATTTGTTAGTTTATTAATTGATTGATTTAAAAAAGAATTCATTAATATTACGTTCTAGTAAAATGCTTAAACATGTAACATTAGAGTGTTTATTGCTTTTTGGTAGTTCCCTAAGCTGCTGACTAGACGAGACGATGACGTGGTTCTTAGTGGATGAGTGTGTGGATTTCAGAGGCAGCGCAACGTAATAATCTTGGTGGCAGGATAAATAGCATTTATTGTTAGGCTTAAGTGCGTTTCTTGGTCATGTAAACACGGGCCGTGGCGTAGAGAACGTGCGTGCAGGCGTATATATTGCCCAGAGCGCTGCCCAAGAGGGCTCCAATCACGTTCGGAATGGGATAAGCCTGCCAGTCGCGTCCCCAGTCCAGCGGCGCCACTACACTCCCGGCCCAGGCGCCCAGAATCCCGCCCAGCGCATTGTACTTGAACAAATTCAGCGCCGTGTCCTCGCACTTGGTCACGAAGTCAGGCTTCTCGCAAAAGCAGACCTGCAGGGCTCCGCCGCCCCCGAGGAGGAACACAGTGGGCGACACCGTCAGCAGGGTCATAAGCAGGGCCAGGACGAAGGTCTGCTCGTAGTTGCCCAGGACCGGCGCTCCCAAAATGATGCAGATAAAGGCGTACAGCAGCGTGCACAGGAACTGCAGAGTAAATCCCCCGAGGAGTTCCCGCGGCGTAAAGTACGAGGCCTTTTTCTGGCGCTGTTTGACGGTCAGGACGCCGTCCTCAACCTTCCCGTAGAATCGGGCCAGTACAACTTTTAGCAGCTCGCCGAGAAAAACAATCGGCACGACCAAGGAATCCCAGAAGCTGCCGAGATGCGCCCAATTCCGGCGATACTGCATGTAGGCCATGCAGATCAGGATGGTGGCCAGGCTAAGGGACACGTGGAAGAGCTGGTGCTTGGTTTTCTGTTGGTCAAATCGGGAAACCATGGTTAAATGCAGTTTAATTGAATTTTCTGAAGTTCCTTAATGCCGTTTTCCTGACATCCGTTTGTTTTACGCCCGTTATCAACACTTGTACAGTGGGCTTGAAAAGGGTTAAACCAGTTCAAATTAAATACAAATTTTCCGTGATGAAATGTGAAGTTAGGATCTCTACGAACTTAAATGAAATGTTTTTGTAATCACCAAACTAACATTAATCTAGCAGACGGTGCTCACTTTGAAAAATCGCATAAAAATATATCTTTGATGGACCGCTATTTCTTAAAGAATAAATTCCCAGGAGGCCATCCATGGTTTTTGCTTTATAATTGAAATTTAAATTTTGTTTAACTTTAAAAATCAAGTTAGCTTTTAAAAAAAATGGTATGTCAAAATAATTTAAAACCAACAAATTTGAGAAAAAGTAAAGTAAGTAATTAATTACGCTCCAAATCCGCAAATGAAATACCCTCGGCGATTTCTTAAGAATTCATGTATGGATAACTTTTGCCTGTTTTGTTCCTTTGAAACTTATTTACCACCTGAAGGCCATATCTGCTAGTTGTCAAAACCCATAAGTTTGCATATAGATTGTATTTAAACTTTTAATTAAACTTGTTCCACTGTGCAGCAGCACACGGAATCGTATTGCTACACTTGCAATCATCGATATTATCGATGATTTTCCAGTTTTAAATTGCAGGAATGGTTTTACTAATATAGTTATTTTTTTAAAATGATTTTTTTTAAATTGAAAAACTAATACATATAACTTATAAAAGTCAAGTCCGAAAGATTGGCTTATTGAACTGCACTATCGTACCCACGATACATCGATATCATCGGGATTGTTTAACCCAGCTCTATTTCACCAGCCGTTCCGTCACATAATCACTCCTCACACATTTGGTTGCAAATTGTTTTTATACCATTTCTAGTTATTTCTAAGTAAATTGCGAGTGGGAATTGCCATCGAGATGCTAGCCCGCGCTATCCGAGTGCGTCCCGTAATGCGGGGCATTGCCTCGACGTCGGTGTGGACCCGGAATCGTCCTGTACAGAGTTCCCTGATGCAGTTCTGTCGGAATCGGGAGACGCGCCTGCAGCGATTTCAAGGAGCCAATATGATGGTCCAACGCTTCTACAGCCGCAAGCGGGACGACTCCGACGAGGATGTTATGTCGGAGGGCCACGGGCCCGAGTTGATGTCCGACCGCGATCCCCAGTTGCCGGCCACTGTCGCCGTGCCAGATGTATGGCCACATGTCCCGCTGCTGGCCATGCGCAAGAATCCGCTCTTTCCGCGCTTCATGAAGATTGTGGAGGTAATGTTATTATCTTTTTTACTTTCTCTTATTACTTGCCGCCAATCAGAAAAATTGTTTCAGCCTTTTAATGGTTTGCAGGATAATAAATAGCAATAGTGTTGGAGCTTTAACCAAATTATATTTCTATAAAATAACTTTTCAAATTTACCCAGGTTTCCAATCCCATCATCATGGATCTGTTGCGTCGCAAAGTCAAGCTGAATCAACCTTATGTGGGCGTGTTTCTTAAGAAATCAGATGGCGAGGAGGAGCTGATCCACAATTTGGATGATGTCTACAGTCTCGGAACATTCGCACAAATTCAAGAACTACAGGATCTGGGCGACAAGTTGCGCATGGTTGTGGTGGCCCATCGTCGCATTCGGATCACTGGTCAGGTGGTCGAGGATGTGCCACCTCCCAAGCCCGGTAAGCATATTGACCAGACCACCCACTAAGCGCCCAAATGTGTGACAACTGTTTCTGCTCTTAGTTAAAATGACAACTTTGCATTATCCACTATTTAATATAAAATTACAAATCCCAGCTGAAGATCAAACAACTGATCAAGCGGAGGCGGCACCAATAAAATCAAAATCCGACACATCTCGAAAGCCCCGTGGCCGACTACCCAGAAGTCGGCCTGGAAAACTGCGCGAATCGGCGGCCGCTGAGGAAATGGTGCAAAGCCAGACACTGGAACCGCCACTTAAGTCAGGTCAAGTCGACTCTGTGGGTTCGCCCAAGCCTCCCACGGAAGGAAAGAAAGTGGAGTCCCCGGAAGGCGTCGAAGGAGATGGCACTCAATCCGCCCCCAGCGTACCACCTGTACTGATTGTAGAAGTGGAAAATGTAAAGCAACCGTCTTACAAACAAACTGAAGAAGTAAAAGCTTTGACTCAGGAAATCATCAAGACCCTCCGAGATATTATTACGATGAACCCCTTGTATAGGTATGCCGACTAATAGAATACATTTCGTGCTTATCTGACCTGAATACTATCTTCCAGGGAGAGTCTCCAGCAGATGCTGCATCAAAACCAACGCGTTGTCGACAATCCCATTTATCTGTGTGATTTGGGTGCTTCACTTTCCGCTGGAGAACCAGCTGAACTCCAGAAAATTCTGGAGGAAACTGATGTAATTTGAATTAAACAACTACCAGAAATGTAGATTTTAATGAGTAACCATGTTCTAGATCCCCGAACGTCTGCAGCTTGCCCTGACTCTGCTTAAGAAAGAGTTGGAACTCTCTAGACTCCAACAAAAAATTGGTCGCGAAGTCGAGGAAAAAGTTAAGCAGCAGCATCGCAAGTACATCCTCCAGGAACAGCTGAAGGTTATCAAAAAAGAACTGGGAATCGAAAAAGACGACAAGGATGCAATTGGCGAAAAGTATCGCGAGAAACTAAAGGATAAAGTTGTCCCCGAAAGCATAATGACGGTGATTGACGAGGAGCTGACCAAACTGAACTTTCTGGAGAGCCACAGCTCCGAGTTTAAGTAAAATCCGCTATAGCACATATCACATCATATCAGCTACCATAATAGGTCCTCCAATTTGCAGTGTTACCCGCAATTACCTTGACTGGCTCACCTCATTGCCTTGGGGCGTCATAAGCACCGAAAACCTCTGCCTAGACAAGGCCACCGAGATACTAAACAACGATCACTATGGCATGGAAGACATCAAGAAGCGTATTTTGGAGTTTATTGCAGTCAGTTCTCTTAAGGGCACTACGCAGGGAAAGATTTTGTGCTTCCATGGTCCACCTGGCGTGGGCAAGACAAGCATAGCCAAGTCTATTGCTCGCGCTTTGAACCGTGAGTATTTCCGCTTCAGCGTGGGTGGAATGACAGACGTGGCCGAAATCAAAGGACATCGTCGCACCTATGTGGGCGCCATGCCTGGCAAGTTGATTCAGTGCCTGAAGAAGACAAAGATTGAGAACCCGCTCGTGCTCATCGATGAGGTAGACAAGATTGGCAAGTAAGTGAAAGATTAAGGGAACACTAGAACTTAATCTAATCAAGAAAATGTTATCTTTTTCAGAGGCTATCAGGGGGATCCCAGCTCGGCGTTGCTTGAGCTCCTTGATCCCGAGCAGAATGCCAATTTCCTTGATCACTATCTGGATGTGCCAGTGGACCTTTCGCGGGTGCTTTTTATTTGCACAGCCAATGTGATTGACACCATCCCTGAGCCCTTAAGGGATCGCATGGAGTTGATTGAGATGTCTGGCTATGTGGCTGAGGAAAAGATCGCCATCGCTCGTCAATATCTCATGCCCCAGGCAATGAAGGACTGTGGATTAACGGACAAGCAAATCAACATTACCGAGGATGCCTTAAATATGCTGATCCGCAGCTATTGCCGTGAATCAGGTGTGCGAAACCTGCAAAAGCACATCGAAAAAGTTATACGAAAGGTTGCCTTCCGACTGGTCAAGAAAGAGGGCGAGCACTTCCCGGTGAACGCTGATAACCTGACCACATTCCTGGGCAAGCAGATCTTCAGTTCGGATCGCATGTACGCCACCACACCGGTGGGCGTGGTCATGGGTCTCGCCTGGACGGCCATGGGCGGCTCATCGCTATACATCGAGACCTCCAGGCGCCACATACGCCATAAGGAAAAGGGCGATACGCCTGCTGCTGGAGGAACTCTCCACATCACCGGCAATTTGGGCGATGTCATGAAGGAGTCAGCCCAAATAGCCTTGACAGTGGCGCGCAACTTTTTGCACTCGATGGAACCAACGAATTTGTTCCTGGAGCAGGAGTAAGTTTTAATTTGTACATAGCTTTTTCTAATTTTAGATGAACGTTTTAGAGACAGTATAGTTATTTCTGATTTTAAGAAATTCTGGAAAAAAGTATATTTATTTTGTTTAAAACGTAATTTAATTGATTTATATCTTCATTAATTTAACAATTTCATTAATCATTTTTATTTTTTCTATGGAATTATTTTAGTTTAAACCTTGAGTTTTGCATTACAAATTATTTGTACTTTCCAGTTTGATTTCTTTTATTGATACATTTTATTTCATTTGTAGACACATTCACCTCCACGTCCCTGAAGGAGCAACACCGAAAGATGGCCCCAGTGCTGGAGTCACCATCATAACAGCTTTGGTTTCTTTGGCCACTGGAAAGCCGGTGCGTCAGGATGTGGCTATGACGGGCGAAGTGTCCCTGAAGGGAAAAGTGCTGACCGTGGGTGGCATTAAGGAGAAGACGATTGCAGTAAGTTAGCAGATAAAACCATTCAGAGATTCTTGTTAAAATGCTTAATCTCTTTCATCCAGGCCCGCCGTAGTGGCGTCAATTGTCTAATCCTGCCGGTGGACAATAAGAAGGACTTCGAGGAGTTACCCACATATATTACCGAAGGCCTGGAAGTACACTTTGCCGAGACGTACGAGGATGTCTACAAGATAGCCTTTGCCGATGACGAGACAACGACCAAGAACGTGGTGGAGCAGGAGCCGCTGCAGAAGGTTTCCAGCGCGGCCACTGCCAAGTCGGCGGCGTGGTCTTAATCGTAACTTTAGCTTGGGGGTGTGCCGGGTGTTAATAGTTTTTATTGATATCGATCGTTATCAGGTTAATTAGTGTATTTAGACCATAGCATTTGTTAAAGCTAATGCCAAGTAAATTGAATGTACTGACGAACTGAAGACAGTGCTGCGTATATTTTAGACATCTGCATTGGCCAGAATCCAGTCCAAGTAGCGATCCACGCGTGTGTAAATTCCCGGACGACCACGCTGTCCGCAGCCTACGCCCCATGACACTATGCCGATGGTGACCCATCGTTGGTTGGGTAGTTGCACCAGCAGTGGGCCGCCGCTATCGCCCTGACAGGAGTCCTGCCCTCCCTCTGGGAATCCGGCGCACATGGAGGTGTCCGGAACGTGCTGCACAAACGAGGCCCGGCAGTCAGACTGCTTCCACACCGGCAGGTTTACCTAAAGTTGTCACGATATTTTTGTAAAGAATGAATTAATATTTGCTGGTAAAATGTTTGATTTAAACAAATTCAAACTTTTCGTATAAAAAAAGGTTTTTTCTGGCTCTTGCAAATTTTAAAAACTTGAATTACTATTTAACAAATCGAATTATATAAAAATTCCACTAATGAAAGTACCTAAGAGAGATGCTTGGCAATTACATCTAAATTTAGGGCCTGAATTTTGAAATATATGTACAACATAACAATAAACAGTGTATATAAAATGAAAGACCAATAGTAGCTTATACCAACCTCCATAAGAATGTTGGAATGGGGTCCGCCAAATTTCTGGGTGCCCCAGCCCGTGACAATGGCGTTCCTATCTGACCAATCCTCGTTAACGGGAGGCATGCAAACTGGCCAGATGTAGGTGTTGAACAGAGTGGGTCTGTCGATTCGGACAATGGCAATGTCATTGTCATAGTTCTGTGGGTTGTAATCGATGTGAAGCACCATGTTGGCAATCCGGAAATCCCTTGCCCTTGTCTCATTCAGCATGTGGGTGTTGTACTCGCCCAGACGAACGAAGATATCCTCCTTATCTTTCTTGTGAATGCAGTGGGCGGCGGTCAGGACGTGGCGATCGGTGATCAGGACTCCCCCGCACCAGACGAAGGGCAAACCCTCCTGCAGCAGGGCCGCCATCCAGGGCCACTCGTCCGGCTCGGCTGGACGCCCGCCGGTAAGCCGCGGGAACTGCCTTGTGGTAATTCCACATCCTCGCTGCTCAGGCTTATTGACGATGCGCGCCTCATCCTTGTCCGGATTAGTTACGATCTGCGGACTAAAGCGGTTGCTCGTCGACTGTTCAGTGCAGCAAATGCCTATGGAGCTGGGATAGGATATTACATCACAGATCTCGTGGTTTTAGATTTTATTATGAATATAAAAATGTTCAGTGGCAGAAATACTTGTTTTCAAGTCTTTAAATGAAACCCTCATACCTCTTTTCAATGATGCAAAGCTGAGATACCAGACGCCAGACGTCGTTCTTAAGTTCTGGCATGCGACAGTAGATTATATGGCGACATCGACCGGATTCCCCCAAAGGAGTGCTGCATGGGCCGTAATCCTTGTTCTCCTGCGTTTAATTTTTTCAGGAATTATAAAGATGGGTATGCACAATATAATGACTCACCAGCAGTTGCGTAGTAGGAACCTGCCGCTTGTTTAGACGATGTCGTGTCAAAAAATTCACGGCTTTGTTTTCCCCTGTGCGATTTTCATACACCTGGTTTTCCGACTCCCCCCATTGAAACTCATCATTATCGCTAAAGTCGAGGAGGTCTAGCAGTAAATGGATTGATTTTCAATTGAAGGTTACAGTTGGATTTGTAATATTTATCTTATGTGTACTTTTCTTTTATTTTTGAACTTTGGAAAAATTATTAAAAGATTTTGATTGAAGGTTTTCAAAGCTTTGAAGAGCCAGAGACGAAAAAAGTTGTTCAATGAATTTTAATTATGTAAAATAAGTGTATTCAACTTAAAACAGTAACACAAAAAAAAGATTAAGAAATAATTGAAAAAAATCCAGAATGAATAGATTATTCGGAAACCATAAATATTGATTTCTTCTACCTCGTAAAAATTTAACATGCTTTTCAGGAACCTTTTTCTCGTCCTGACGTTAAACTAAATGCAGATTTAAAACTCAAAATATTCATGGATTTTCGAGGTTTAAAAGTCATTTGTATTTTTGTAGTTAGTTTAATTACCAATTCACGTGTTTCAATATTTTTTTATAAATATTTGTTTTTTTTGTTTTTAATCGATGTGTTCAATTTAAAATTTATCTTTCTTGATTGATTTTCTTTGATTATAACTCACCTATATAATCACTGGTTAATTTGTTGGCTAATATATTCTGCAAGGCATATCCAAAAAAGACCACAAAAGCCAAAAAAAAGGCTTTCATTTTGAGTTATTTTCGCTAACGCTCTGGGATTTTATCGCGTGCCGCTTCCGTTGCCAGCTGAATCAATTCTGCTTTGTGCAATTCTCCAACAAGCTACTGTTCCGATATGGAAGCCGAGCTCAGATCGGCTGAACTCGCGATTTACCTTGGACACTGTTTTTAAACTTGTTCGAAACGTTGACACTTTTGGGTTTTCCTGGCTAATAAAGCGACTCTCAGGCAAGTCTATTTTTTAGCTCAATTCTCAGACAAAAGCTTTATTGGATGGGTACCGCACTTATATAGTAAATATTATGAACGTCGGAATAATCCAAGTGCTTTCTTCCCTTGGCTTATCTCTAGGGTGAAAAACGAGCCACTGAGATGCCGGTCCCCTTTAATGCTTATGAGCTTGGACCCAATTTTGTGTATTATCTCAAAGTTGCCGACAAAAGTTTAGCAACACCAAAGGCAAAATTGTTGCTCACGATGATCGACTCGGCTTCTCCGATGAAAATGAAACGTGATGGGCATTGCAAATGATCCGGTTCGGTGGGTTTTAATTCCATAGAAGTAACATCTCCGAAATACTAAGGAAGATTTTGTAGGTACACAGCTTATATTCTCTATTTAATTGCCTTTGACGCTTGCACATCAAAACAATAATAAATCAAATGCATTAAAAACCGGAATAAGAAAAAATCAAGTGATGTAAGTTTCATTCATTTTAAAGAGATGCGAACTACCAATTTTAAGACAAAATTCCTTATTGCTTATATAATTAAAATAATAATGTCAGGACAATTGTTAAACTTGACATTAATATTGCTGGCTATCATACTTATTATTTATATCAAAAATCCTTTTTTTTGATCGTAGCATTTTTTAGAGATCAGATGTATATGTACTTCCGTACTACTTATAACGGTTTGTCATTAGGTGAAAATGGCGTGCGGGTGCGTTGTTTAATTACTGGTCCCTCAAAAGTAATTGCCACCTGTTCATCCCACTTGGGGGCCTATAAAGGTCTCCTACTCGTCGGCTAGTCGACGTATTTTGTTCCCGCCACCATGAAGCATTGGAAACGACGCTCCTCCGCCGTTTTGGCCATCGTTCTGCAAGTTTTGGTATTTCTATTGCCCGATCCTGGAACAGCCATGACGATGGACCAGTTTTTGTCCTCGCTAGACATGATCAGGAATGGATGTGCGCCAAAGTTTAAACTTAATATAGAAGATCTCGATCGGCTTCGCGTGGGTGATTTTAGCTTTCAGCCATCGCAGGATCTGATGGTGAGTGTATATATCGCGGTGAAATTAATAAAGCCTGTGCTGGCGTTATTAAACTTAACTTTTTCTCCTCTTAGTGCTACACAAAGTGTGTGTCCTTAATGGCGGGCACTGTTAATAAAAAGGGAGAGTTCAACGCTGCAAAGGCCCTTGCGCAGCTTCCGCATTTGGTTCCAACTGAGATGTTGGAGCCGTCCAGGAAATTCATTGAAGCGTGCAGGGATACCCGTAAGTATAAGGCAATTGAAGGCACAAAGTCTGGTTTTATATACAGTTAAATGTTCACAGATAAAGCATTCAAGGAATCGTGCGAAAAGGTCTTCCAAACGGCCAAGTGCTTCGCTGACAATGCCGATGGGAACTTCATGTGGCCTTAGAAAAATTAAGAATATCTTAGTTCATTTCAGATAAATAAAATAAAAAAGTAAGTTGTTTGGTAAAAGAATAGCTCGTGTTTAATTAAAGGCTTAAATATGTTTTAAAATAAGATTTATATAAATAAATAATGAGAGGGAAAAAACATTAAAATAAACTATATTTTTATACTCTTGAAGAGGGTATTATGATTTCAGTCAGAAGTTTGCAACGCAGTGAAGGAGACGTTTAATGAGAAATAATAGGAAATTTAAATTAATAGGAATGATCTGCAAGATATATACGAATATATATATTATTTTCTGTTTTTTTTTTTACCATTTTAAGATCATTTACCCATTAATAAGTGATAAGACCCATTTTTGATTTCGAACATTGTTACATTTTATTGCTGATATTGTTAACTAAATACAACAGTTTTATATATTCGCATTATGCACACTTATACATTTTGTAATTTATAAATACTCAATTGGCATAGCAACGCATTTAAATAAGGGATATCTTTGCATTCTAAATGTTACAAAATAAATGCAAAATCTTATACAAAATGGTTGCCTTGCGTACGTGTGTACAAAGTTCTCTCGTTAGCTATTTCTCGTATTCCATTTCATAAATTTCGGATTCGGTATAGAATAGTGTCTTTAAAGATCTCTCAAAAAGGGCCTCACAAAAATATATCCGATTAGAGCGTGTGTGGTGGAATTTAACGATGACTTAGATGAGGATGTTTGAGGAAACCTGTGCTGCGTTTAGAAAGTGTTTGTGTACACAACTAAGAGTCTAAGGATGTCCACATGTATATAGTAGTTAGTACATTGTATATAAAATCAGTACACATTGATGCTTGTATATTGAACCGTTTGTTAGCTGGTTTGGAAATATTTTGTAACTACTACACACACATCTAAATAGGTTGGTGGTACACACCTAGGTATACACGTATAGGTATATAATTTGATATATCGTAGTTATAATTAGGTGGAGATTGACAGGCCTGTTGTTAAGCTAGGCATTGATTCCGATTGGGATTGTGTAATGCCGTTGATTGTGTTGTGCGTGGGATAGCCTTGACTTTGGCTGAGAGTATGAGAGTGTATATCCTATACAATGATTCTTCCCTCTCCTTTCCTAACTAATCTAGAAGATGTTTGTGCTTATAGTTTTTTTTTTTCATTTCCATCCGGGATCACATTTAGGTTTATGAAATTATAAAGCAGAGAGCGAAAGAGGAACAATTTTGAAACTGTTTTTTCTGTGAATTTAACTTTAAAACTCCAAAAGATTATCAGATTTTTTTAAAAACTTAAGGCCTCCGCAAAACAATTTCAAAAGGACAGACTCAGTTTATAATCTTGAACGATAATGGTTGGTCTTCAGAGGAAGACTTGGAAGTAGAGCTTAGACGTTTGAGCAAAGAAAATGCTTCTGGGTAAGACCCATGTAAATTCTAGGATGACAGGAAACGATTGCTGGATGTCAGTTTTGTGATTAGGGAATGATTGGTAATAATTTTGATTATGTTCTTCCATTGCAGGATCAGCCATCATCCTTTATTGCTTGCTTAGTCCATCAGTCGAACGCCGGCTTGAACATCATCGGCCATGCTAACGCCTTTCTTCTTTTTGCCCTCGCCGGCAGGCTTCTTCTTGGTCAGAGCCAGGGTTTCCGGCTCATCCTGGGACTGCTGCCGCTTGCCGTTTCCACTGGCTCCACCTCCTCCGCCGCTGTTGCTCCTCAGTTTGAATCGCGTCGTGGCCGCCGCTGCATTGTTGTTGGCACAATTGCATATTGCATCGAAGATCCGCACGACAAATCCTCTGGCCCGATTCACCACCTTGCCGTTCTTAAAATCTGGTATAGCGAAACCTGAGAGATTAGTGCATGCGAAGCGCAGAAAGTACAAAAAATTCGAAAACAAAGATCAGTGAGAGGCAAAATACAATTTAAGTGCAACAAAATATGGGCATGCATTGGAGCTGGAATAAATGAAACGGCGGCTTAACAATGGGAGAAAATGGCGTGCGAGTGCGTTTCTTAATTATAGCTTATCCAATTTATATCAAACTAATTGGCACTTGTTAGCCGACACGGTGGCCTATAAAGGTCTCCCTGTTGTTAGCAATGTCCAACAGTCATGAAGGCCAGTTCTTGAGAGGTCATGACAGGACGCCAATCCTTGATTAGTTATTAAAACGAATCTTTTCGTGAACTTTAGATATCAAACTAATTGCAACATTTTCAACAGAAACTTAATAATACTTTGATTTATGTCACCATATTAGAAGTATAAAATTCATATATGTATATTATTTTATACCGAGGTGAGTGCAAGTGCGTTGAAATAGTTGAGTTATCAAAATATAACAAACCCTGACCTTGAGTTCGCTAAAATACCTCAAGGTATGTGTAATATAAAGGTCACCAAAAACTAATAGAACAAAAATTACAAATATTTAAGTAAATGTCTAATTTAAGTAAATGTCTAATTCCTAGGTCTATCAAAAATGTACATGAAAAATCGTTAAGTAAGCATACTAAGGGCCGTTTTCTCGTCCGCCTATTAAATTTAATGGAAGCTTTAAATTTTGATTTCCCATACGATTTCAAGGTTTTATAATTATTTTAGATTTAACAAACAGACGAGAAAACGGCCCTAAACTTGCCAAATTCATTGAAATTGTGTGCTAAAGATTTTTAAAAAAATAACATTAATGTAAACTTTTCAATAAAAAAATTATGTTTTTAAATAAAAGATACTGATTTTGAGTTGTTGAATTAGGCACAGATCAAGAGCTACCCTATTGCATACTGAAATCACATCCACACACTTCACGAACCCCCATCTTTGATCCTTTGTTCGTGATAGGCACCTCTTACAGAAAATTCAATGTCACAAAGGTTCTGGCCATTGACATATACTTAAGTCATTCTTGATTGCTGATACTCATCTATTTTCACAGACAATGTGCTCGTGAACAAGGATCTAAAATGCCGCCAAGTGCTTGGCGACGGTTTTAGGAACTGGCCATAAGGAAAAGCCATAAACAATCTAAAGTAGCCAAAAAGCGATTAATACTGGAACACATTGCGTATACTTACTCGGTCGCTTTTCCTTGCCCTGAAAATAAAGTTACAAGTGTTTCGATTAGCAGGAAAACGAAATTAATATGTCTAGTCAACCTGTTGCGATTTCTGGTTCTCAACTGCTCGCCTGTTGGCCTCCGCCTCAGCCCGCAGGACCACATCATCGAGCACTTCTTGCAGAGCAGCCATGTTCTGAGGACTCTGCTTGAACGCCTCAATTCTGGCCTCAAGCGACTCCGCTGCGATTCCATCTTCACTGTCCGGAGACGCGGGCTCGGGATCCGCAAATCGTGCGTGCATTTTTCCTGTGTTTTTGCAAGAATTTGGATTAATTCTTTGAAAAATTCCGACAGAGCTGGTCCGAGCCTTGCCAATGTCCTGCGATGGGTATCTACAAGGAGTGTTGAGCGAGCTCTTTGTGCGTTTACCGAGCAATGTGGTGGAAAAATCAATAGCCAGCCACTTGGGGGCCCATACCCGCACATGCGTGCTGACTGCGTGGCCAAGCTTTTGACTTTGGCTGGGGGAATCGGGTTCCACAGGGAAAAATTAGATCTAAATATTTCTGACTTTAAAAAATAAGATTTGATTTTATCTAGTATTAATTATATTTAAATTAAATTATTTTGCAATTTCATTTAAAACGCTGGTGATATCAAAATCTTGTTTCTAAAAAACATATAACTACTTGAGGCAGAAGATCACTTGAAAAAGAACTTATACAAATCACATTTAAACAATTTTTTTCTGTGTGGTAAAATATTTTTAGGGTAGGTTCCCGCTTTCTTTGTTTTATTGCATACAAAATGATTGTGTGGACTATGAACTAAGCTGGCTACTCCAGATGTGAGAGATCATCCTGCTCGGGTGGCGCCCGTACGATCTCCGTCTCAATGATCAGCGAGTTGGCGTCTAGGGTGCTCTGAAAGATTCAACTGTTATACCATCAACTGCTGGCGCTTCGCTACCGGCACTAACACACACATTCTCGCTGCTCCGCTGTGCGGCTGACAGTAGGCTGCCGCTGATCCCGCTTCCACTGGCGCTCGAGTTAGAGTTCGAGTTGGAGGCATTGGCCCCGTTGGAGGCTGCGGAGAGGACGACGCTGTGCGGGGAGCTGCCCCGCCGCACCACCTTTGTCTGACCCTGCTGCGGCGAGTTTTGGGTGACTATCACGAACTTTTGCGGCGGCTGGTTGGCCTGAATGGCTCTTATCTGAGGTAGGGCCGACACCCCCACGCCGGGGCTTCTGCAAAGGAAAGGAAAGGGTAAATTGCCTTGAGAATTTAATATCAGAAAAAGAACCCTTGCAGAAAACATTGAAGCCACTAATGGTTGCCTTTCAAAGCAACCTTTTTAGCAATAACAAATTTCGGCGAGGGTATTACAACAAAAATACACTAGGTTCCCTACCCCTGTCTCTGTGTGCTGGGCATCGTCACTCGCCCGATCGTTGTGGCCGTTTGGGCTGCACTCGTGATGGGTGCCGTGTTGATCGTGTTCGATGACAGGGTCACAATGCTCGTGGCGGGCGCATTCCGCACTTTGACCACCGCCTGACACAGCGACGGTCCCAGGAAACCAAAGTCGTTCTTGTAGTCCTCCGCCGCGTCTGGTGCGGAGCGCATTTGCTTGAGGATCGGCGGACAGCACTTTTGGAGCATCGCGCGAATGTGACCGGCGGCTGTCTTGTCGGTGTTGCTCATGGAGGTACCGAGAAGGTGGGGTTCAATGCGCTCTGATATGAACTTGAGTCGGGGTATGATAAACACTTTGATGACCTCGCCTCCCAGCTCCGAGAGTCCCGCAATCGATCCGTACAGAGAGGATAGGTGAGTCTTGTCGTTCTGCAAGGCCTTACTGAAGATGCTGGGGGGTGAGGAGATGTGCGTTAAATAGGGATCGGCGTGGAGTGGCCTAGATTTACCGGGTGACACGGGTTTGCAGGTTGTTGGTCAGTGTGTTGAAGTTCTTGCAGATCTGCGCCATCAGTCGCGAGGCAAAGTCTCGCAGGGCCCAGTGATTGTCCAGTTCCGGTCGCATGCACAGCTGCTTGGAAACAATGCAGGTCATCACCGAGGGTATCAGTTCGTGTAGCTAAATTGTAAAGATAAATTGGATTAAGTGGGCAGCACAAGACCTAAAAATAAGTAAAAGTCTTACGTATTTTTCGAGAAACAGCGATGGATTGTCGAGCAGAGCACGCACCATTCGCATGAGGTAAATGAGCAGCGCCAAATTGTTCTGCACCACATTGACCTTGACGCCCTCGGCGATGAAGGTGCACATGCGGGGCAGCATTTCGTGCAGGCCAGGATCCGAGCCCAGCGACTGCAGGGCCTCGCCGCGGCGCGGCTCATCCGATCCCACGCAGGCCTCGGTGATCTCCTTGTAGTACAGCTGCTGCTCCACGGACAACTCGTGCGTGGCCAGCTGCTTGACGTGGATGGTCTCCACGTTCTTGAGCTTGTGGATCTTGCCGGTGGTTGGTTTGCCGGCCGCATCCTTGTTCAGACCTTGATCGAGTTTTATAACCGGATTGACGGAGTCCAGGAACTGGGAGTCCTTCGAGAGCGGCGGCGGGTTTTCTGGCACAGTCGGCTGGACCCCCTCCACTACGAACCAATGGGAGCGCAGGGTGAGGTCCAGGGGAATCTTCACGGAGTTGCTGGCGGTGATCTCACTCAGGTCGATCTCCTTGTCCTCGGTGAAGTGCAGCTCCCGTCCGCCGCCGGAAGCGAAACGGAAGGGTATGAAGTCCTTGGAAACGAAGCCGTACTGCGGCTCCACATTCCGCACCTTCAGGGCCATGTCGATGTCCCGCACGGAGAGCTTCTGCCGCTTCGCGTGGTGCATGAATTTGGCCGCGTCCTGGACAATCCTCTTCAGCTTGATGGACACATCCTCCGCCAGCTCCTTGGCGGCGTCATCCGAAAGCGAGCCCACGCCGATGCTCTCCGCGATCACCTTCATGGACTCCGCCGAGATGCTGGAGCCGTACAGCATGCTGCTCGAGGCGCTGCTCGATTTCGACGGTTTTCCACTCATTTTCCGATTTTTTACAAATAAACAAATACTTTTCGGCCAGTGTTCACACACCGGGAGTTGGAAATAAAGTCAGCCGCGTTGCCGATTTCAGTGGGAAATTTAGCTATTTTTGTCAACGCTACGATATGTGTCTCCGCTAAGCCACTAATATCGATATCAACGGAAACATCGGTGAACGATGTTTATTTTTTTAATTAATTTTTTTTTATATTGGTTTTTTTTGGCAAGGATGAACTTTGTCCTGTAACTCCTTATTATAAAATTTTACAAATATTTCTCAAAAACTAATATTTTTAAATGCCGATTTCACATAAAAATGTCAGCACTACTCACAATTAATCACATGTTACGTTAATACAGCAAAAACTTAACATAGCATTAACAAATGAACAACAAATTTTTAAAACGAAAAACATCGATGAAAAAAAAACAAACATCGATAATTTATAAAAACATCGGTGCATCGATGTTTCCATCGATGCTTCTCCACCTCTAAACGCAGTGTCTTTTTCTTTATTTATGTTCGTACATTTTTGGTTGCCTGGCTTTTTGTTGTTGCGCCACATTAACAATAACTATTACAGTGCGCCCCACCGCCGCCCGCGTTGAAGAAGTGTTAAATCGGGAGCGCGGATTAATGTGCCACACGCGAAAGGCGTTGCAACGTTGTGTCGTCGTCGGGCGTCGAACAAAGCAGATTTTGGAAAAGTGAAAACGGCGCCATTTTAGAAGCAGCAAGCCACGGCCAAAGGCGCTAGAAAAGTGCAAATGCAATGCGTGGACTAATAGATGGTCCGTAAACGGTCCGCTGAACACACAACTCCCCTTTAAAGCCGCGAGTGAAGGTGCTAAACGAGAAAACAATCAAGCGTAAGTGGGCAGGGGAAGAAGTTTTTTTCGGACGTCGTCGCCGCGGTTTGACCTACTTTAAATGCGATCAAAAGAGCCACCAAAATCCTGTGGGCTAACCAAAACTAATACCTTGCAGCTCCCGAGCGACTCCAAAATATGAGCAGTGGCCAAAATGAGACGGCAGCAGCAAAGGTTCTGGAAACGCAACGCGCACAAGAGTCCGGCAGTGAAAATGAGGCAAGTCTGGCACGTAGCCCTCGACGAGTTCTTGTTTGTAATTTGTATTGTTCGCCCACAGGAAACAGATTCCATTACGGATCAGTCGAGCCAGTCGAAGTCCACCAAGTCAGCCACCCAGTTCAGCGTGCAGCGCTCGGATACCGGTGGCCTGCGAATGAGAATCTCGGCGATTCGCCCGCCGCCAGGAGTCGCAGCCATCAAGAAGCCGCCGAAGGCCAGGAAAATGTCCACCCAGGACACCGAGTCCGGCTGCTCGGAGGCCAGGAACAAAGCAGCCAGCAAGAAGGTCAAGGTCAAGCGCAAGAAGCTGGCCAGCAGCAACAGTGCGATGGGCAAATCGGACAAGGCATTCAAGTCCAAGAAGCCACAGATCTCGGCCTTTTCCTCGGATTCCGAGGACGATCTGCCCCTGAAGGTTCACCAGCAGAGAGCTCCGCGACTGCTGCTCACTGCAATCTCGCAGGCGGCTCAGTCCGCCAGCAAAGCCCCTCTGGACATCGGAATCTCCTCCAGCGACAACGAGCTGCCCAGCCTCGTGCAGGCGGCCATCAAGCGGGTGGAGAGCGATACGGAGGACACCACTGTGGAGGGCAGCTTCCGCAAAGCGGCCAAGGACAAGAATCTGCCCCAGTACCAGTCCACTTTGCTGCAGGACTTCATGGAGAAGACCCAGATGCTGGGACAGAGCTCCAGCTCAAAGCTTCCCGAAGAGAAAGTGGCAAAAGCTGGCGAGGAGGCCCTGGCGCTAGCCGCTAATCCCCGAAAGCGCAGAGGTAGACCCAAGAAAGTGATCTCCACAGCTCCTGCCCCGGGAATCTCTGGACCGGCCATAAATGAATCCGCCGATTCGGGTGTTATTAGCACCACCAGCACCACGCAAAGCACCACTCCCTCCCCGAAAATGCAGAGCGAGAACACTGTGCCCACGGGCGCTGTGGCAATCGCCTCCAGCAGCAAGCCAAAGATCGATATGGCCTATCTGGACAAGCGCATGTATGCCACGGAGAGAGTACTCTATCCCCCGCCCAGGAGCAAGCGGCGTCAGAACAATAAGAAGACCGCCTCCAGCTCATCCAACAAGGAGGAACTTCAGCTGGATCCGCTGTGGCGGGAGATCGACGTGAACAAGAAGTTCCGGCTGCGGAGCATGAGTGTGGGGGCAGCTAGTGGAACTGGAGCTGGCACCACCATCTGTAGCAAGGTGCTGGCCGCCAAGAGCGGCTACGTATCGGACTACGGAAGCGTGAGGCACCAACGGAGCGGCCACAGCCACAACTCCGGGTACAAGTCCGATGCCAGCTGCAAGAGTCGGTACAGCACCAAGAGCTGTATGAGTCGCAGGAGCCGGGCAAAGAGTTGCGGCTACCGCAGTGATTGCAAGGAATCGGGAAAGTCAGGCCTGAGAATGAGGCGGAAGCGCAGGGCTTCCATGCTCTTGAAGAGCACTGCAGACGATCCCGTCGAGGATCAGGACATCCTTCAGCTGGCGGGGCTGTCGCTGGGCCAGAGCAGCGAGGAGAGCAACGAGTACATCAGCAAGCCGAGTCTCCAGAGTCTGCCGACGACAAGTGCCAGCAAGAAGTACGGCGAGATCAACCGCTATGTCACCACGGGGCAGTACTTCGGTCGAGGCAGCAGCTTGGCTGCCACCAATCCGGAGAACTTTATCAGTAAGATGATGAATCAACGGAAGGAGACCCCGGCTCCCAGCAAATCCTCCTGCAAGATCAAGTCCCGTCGCTCCTCGGCAGCCAGCATGTGCAGTAGCTATGTGTCGGGGGTGTCCAGAATGCGTCGCAGGCATCGCCGGAAGAGTTTCAGCCACAACAAGTCCTTGAACATTGATTCAAAGCTGCTCACGGAAATCGAGATTATCACCAGCACCTTCCACTCGAGGTGTCGCATACAGGAGGACCGTCTGACCGGGAGCAGTGGCAAGGAGAAGCTGTTGGCCGATGCCAACAAACTGCAGGCCACCTTGGCAGCTCCCAGTCCTGCTCAGCAATTGGTTCTGAACGGCGGGGGATCCGCTTCAGCGCTCCCCAAACCTTTGAAACGGGCCCTAAAGAAGCGAAAGCTCAGCGAGCCCCTGGTGGACTTCGCTATGCTGTCGGCCAGCGCTGGTGGAACCCCCAATGGCAGCGGAAGCAGCAACGGGAATGCCAAGAGACGGCACAAAAAATCCCAGAGCAATGACAGCTCCAGTCCCGATGATCACAAGCTGCCGCTAAAGAAGCGCCACTACCTGTTGACTCCAGGAGAGCGGCCACCCACGGAAGTGGCCTTCGCCAATGGAAAACTGAACGCAGAGGCCTGGGCCGCAGCGGCGGCGACTGCCAAGAGCACTGCGTCTACAAAATCGCAGGCTCAGTTCAATGCTAGAAGCGGAAAATCTGCCCTTACGCCAAAGAAGAGGCACCTCCTGGAACAACCCAACGCAGCGAGCGGAGCTGCCTCATCGGCCAGCAATTCTCCCCTACGGATTGTTGTGGATAACAACTCCATAAGTGGTGGCAAGTTGCTGGACATTAGTCCTAGCTCTCTGTGCTCCCTCAAACAGCAGAGGAGAGGAGGAGCAGCCAAGCAGAAGGCTGCGGCCACCAAGGACTTGGTTCAGGTTCAGTCTCCAGCCGGTAGCTATCCTCCCCCCGGTGTGTTTGAGCCATCTGTGGAGCTGGAAATCCAAATACCCCTTGGCAAGCTGAACGAATCAGTCATAACAAAAGCAGAGGTCGAATCTCCGCTGCTCTCAGCACTGGACATCAAGGAAGATACCAAAAAGGAGATTGGCCAGCGGGTTGTGGAGACGTTGCTCCATAAAACGGGAGGCAATCTCCTGCTGAAACGCAAGCGAAAGAAGATCAATCGAACTGGATTTCCCACGGTGCGCAGGAAGAAGCCCAAGATTAGCATGGAACAGCAGCCAACGGTCGCAATGGATGAACCGGAGCCGCAGCCGGAGATTGATCCCGATGATGAGCCGCTGCAATCCTTAAGAGAAACCAGGAGTAGCAGCAGTGCCCAGGTACACCCTACTCCTCCGATAGATTGCGAGCGAGTGCCCCAAGCAGGCGAGGCCAGGGAAACCTTTGTAGCCAGGAGCAATCAGAGAGCTCCGCGCCTCTCGGTGGTGGCCCTGGAGCGCCTGCAGCGCCCTCAAACACCCGCTAGAGGAAGACCCCGAGGAAGAAAGCCGAAAAAAAAGGAGCAACCTGAAGTTCCACCCTTACCGCCGCCCAAAACGGAACCGGAGGCAAGGCCTGCCAAGAAACGTGGCCGCCAGCCCAAGCAGCCGGTGCTGGAAGAGCCACCTCCCGCACCTTCGCCTCAACAGAAAAAATCCAAACTGGAACCCAATATAAAGCTCCCAGCTGGCATCGATCCCAACACGAACTTTAGCTGCAAGATTCGCCTAAAAAGGCGGAAGAACCTGGAAAACGGAAGCCACCAAAGTAAGAAGGAGAAACCTGTTCAACCAGCGATAGTGGAGCCTATTACCCCGGAAATACCGGCGAGCCAGGAGGAGATAGATGCCGAAGCGGCGGCTAAACGGCTGGAAAACATCCCCATCGAACATGATCCGCTACCCGCTAGTGAGTCCCAGAACCCCGGCCCTCCAGACTACGCCAGCTGCAGTGAATCCAGCGAGGACAAAGCGTCGACAACCTCACTGCGCAAACTATCCAAAATAAAGAAGACCTATCTGGTAGCGGGCCTCTTCTCAAATCACTACAAACAATCGCTGATGCCGCCGCCAGCGAAGGTGAACAAGAAGCCAGGATTGGAGGAGCAGCAGGTGACTCCTGGGAGTCTTCTGCCTCCACCTCCCTATTGTGAAAGGTATCTAAGAAGAAGTGAGATCGACTTTGAGCTACCCTACGACATTTGGTGGGCCTACACCAACTCAAAGCTACCCACTCGACATATTGTGCCATCCTGGAACTACCGAAAGATTCGAACAAATGTGTACGCCGAGTCAGTGCGTCCGAATCTGGCTGGCTTCGATCATCCCACCTGCAACTGCAAGAATCAGGGCGAGAAAGCATGTTTGGACAATTGCTTGAATCGCATGGTTTACACGGAGTGTTCGCCCAGCAATTGTCCAGCTGGAGAGAAGTGCCGGAATCAGAAGATCCAGCGGCATGCAGTGGCACCTGGAGTGGAACGCTTTATGACCACAGACAAAGGATGGGGAGTGAGAACTAAGCTACCCATATCCAAGGGTACCTACATTCTGGAGTACGTGGGGGAGGTGGTCACCGAGAGGGAATTCAAGCAGCGGATGGCCAGTATTTACCTAAACGATACGCACCACTATTGTCTGCACTTGGATGGAGGACTAGTGATCGATGGCCAGCGCATGGGCAGCGATTGTAGGTTTGTCAACCACTCCTGCGAGCCAAACTGCGAGATGCAGAAGTGGAGCGTCAACGGTTTGTCGAGAATGGTCCTGTTCGCAAAAAGAGCCATTCTGCAAGGAGAGGAGCTGACCTACGACTACAATTTCTCACTGTTCAATCCGTCAGAGGGTCAGCCCTGCAGATGCAATACTCCCCAGTGTCGTGGCGTCATCGGGGGCAAGTCGCAGAGGGTGAAACCACTTCCTGCAGCGGAGGCCAAGCCCGCCTGCGAGGGACCTTCAGGCAGAAACGGTCGCCAGCGTAAGCATAAGGCCAAGAAGCACGCTCAACGGCAGGCGGGCAAGGACACTGCGTCAGCAGTGGCGGTGGCAAAGCTTCAACCTTTGTCCGAAAAGGAGAAGAAGCTGGTTAAACAATTCAACACGTTCCTTGTAAGGAACTTTGAAAAGGTTAGTTGTATATCTTTCTGTGCTCGACAGTGTTTTGCAATTTCATTATAAGTCCTCGGATTTTGCATATTTGTCCATTTTTTGTCCGATTTTGACCAACATTTTTGGGTAGGTGTCATATTTTTCAAATGTAATAAATTCGGATGTATATTGGAAATATGCAAAATATATGCAAACAAGAGAGAACGCTATATACGGGTCCCCGACTATCAGATACCCGTTATTCAGCTAAAGGGAGTGCGAAGGAGATGGAGATAAAAACTTTGATCCGCCGTAACTTTTTAACTAATGGTCCGATTTAAAAAAATTCTTCCACGTTTCGATAGGTATTGATAAACACAATAAAACTGCATTTTTACTTTTCCGAAATATTGAAATTTTTAACAAACTTGCGCTGCGTAGGAAGTCCTAGAATCTGCATGCAAAATGTCAATCTTCTAGCTTTTATAGTTTCCGAGATCTCAGCGTTCATACGGACAGACAGACAGACAGACGGACATGGCTATATCGACTCGGCTAGTGACCCTGATCAAGAATATATATACTTTATAGGGTCGGAAATGCTTCATTCTAGCTGTTACATACTTTTGCACGAATACAATATACCCTTTTTATTCTACGAGTAACGGGTATAAAAATATATGCATAAAATATGCAAAATATATGCAAACAACTGGAGGCTCAAATTTGTAATGTAGCCCTCTGGTATTTTAAACCCTATTTATATTTCTCGCCTACTCGTTGGAAATATAAATAGGGTTTCCTTAAACTTAAATTAGGGTGGCTATGAAATGGTCAATCTAGAATAGTTGAGTTTATTATATATTTTGCATATTTTATGCATATGCAACTTATGCAAAAATGCAAAAAAAATGCCATTAATTTTAAACTATATTTTTATTGAAACGAACTTTGGTGTTTTCGGAATTGATCTATCTTTATCCTATAAAAATATGCAAATATGCCGAGGTCTATTTATTATTGTATGACTTTCAAATATAATTGAATTATTTATTTTTGTAAATCCCTTTTTTTTTTAATTAAAATTTGTTCATCGAATCTGGATCTCTAATTTTCTTTTTCCCCATTAGATACGCAGATGCAAGGCCAAGCGAGCAGCAGTCGCTGCACCTGTAGGCACTACTGCATCCTCTCCAGCGCACGGCGTCGCCAATGGAGACATCCCCGGTAGACGACCTTCCACGCCATCTTCCACTTCCCTGGCTGCCCAAATATCCGCACTCTGCTCGCCACGCAACATGAAAACTCGCGGACTAGCTCAGGCAGTACATGATCCCGAACTTGAGAAGATGGCCAAAATGGCTGTGGTTCTAAGAGACATTTGCAGTGCTGTTGAGAGTCTTAAAATGTCCGATCTGCTAACCACCGTATCCAGCAAGAAGAAGAAAGCTATAAAGAACTCCTCGAGTGCTAAATTGAGTGCGACAGCCGGAACGTCTCGAGTGGAGTTCAGATCGATTCAGGTCCAAGTTGAACAGGGACACTACAAGACGCCCCAGGAATACGACGACCACATGCAGCAGCTTTTTATGGAGGCCAAGCAGCAGCATGGCGACGATGAGGGCAAGGTCAAGGCCCTTCAATCCCTGAAGGATTGCTATGAGCAGCAGAAAACAGCCAGTTATGTTCAGCTGGTCGAGATACTCGGCGATTCTGAGTCATTGCAGAGCTTTAAGCCAAAGGAGATGCTTTTGCCAGTGGAGGAAGCACAAAAGGTTGCAGTGAAGAAATCACCAGGGGCAAAAGATAGGGATTCTCCCCAAGTGCCATTAAAATCAACGCCTCCACTGCTTCCCATCGAAGCCTCTCCTGAAGAGGATGTGATCCGTTGCATTTGCGGGTTGTACAAAGACGAGGGATTGATGATTCAGTGCGCCAAGTGCATGGTGTGGCAGCACACGGAGTGCACCAAAGCCGACATCGATGCGGATAACTATCAGTGCGAACGGTGCGAACCGAGGACAGTGGATCGTGAGATTCCCCTGGAGGAATTCACCGACGAGGGCCACCGCTACTACCTCTCCTTGATGCGTGGCGACCTGCAGGTGCGTCAAGGCGATGCCGTCTACGTGCTGCGAGATATTCCCATCAAAGATGAGGCGGGCAAGGTGTTGCCGACACAGAAGCACACCTACGAAACGATCGGAGCAATTGATTACCAAGAGTGCGACATCTTTCGGGTTGAGCACTTGTGGAAAAACGAAGTGGGAAAGCGTTTCATATTTGGGCACCACTTCCTTCGCCCCCATGAAACTTTCCATGAACCTTCGCGTCGTTTTTACCCCAATGAAGTGGTAAGAGTTTCCCTTTATGAGGTGGTACCCATCGAGTTGGTCATTGGACGCTGCTGGGTTTTGGATCGTACTACTTTTTGTAAAGGCCGTCCCATGGAGTGCAACGATGAAGATCACTGCTTCATCTGCGAGCTGCGCGTGGACAAGACGGCGAGGTTCTTTTCCAAGGCTAAGGCCAATCATCCGGCCTGCACCAAGAGCTATGCTTTCCGAAAGTTCCCCGAGAAGCTAAAAATCTCTAAGAGCTATGCCGTAAGTTCAAATCCCACACTAATAATAAGCAGAGTATTAATACTTAACCAATGTTTAGCCCCATGATGTGGATCCTTCGCTGCTGAAAACGAGGAAGCAAAAGACTGAATTAGAAGTAGGAGCAGGGACTGTTCAAAAAACACTCGGCAGGCAGGAGCAGCAGCAGCCGAAGACGGTTGGGAGAAAGCCGCGCGGGCTCAGTGCCGCCCCAGTGGAAGCCACAGCTCTCCATGTCATACCACCAATAGCACCCAATAAGCAGGTCAGTGTGGTAATTAGTTGCATGTTATATATTTTTAACTAAATAAATATACATTTGTCCTCCACCTACAGATGCTTAAGAAGAGGCGATCACGCTTAGAGAACGTTCTAATAACTATGAAGCTCAAGTGTCTGGATGCACAGACAGCCCAGGAGCAGCCCATCGACCTGTCATACCTACTGTCTGGGCGCGGAGCCCGACAAAGGAAGACCCAGCAGTCCAGTAGCAGCTCCACGGCAAATTCAACCTAACAGATTTAGCCTGCGACTAGGTTAAGCCGTGTATATACGCCTAAAGTTGGAGGCATTGATTAATATTTATGGAATTTCAATTAACAATTAGCATGTAGCCATTTAAGATGTAACGGTGATAGTAGTAACTCTAGAATGTACATTGTTATGAACAAACTTCGTGAATCGGCCTCCGGATCCGTATAAGATGGAACAGATATTAATAATGGCTAATATAAGGATCTATTTAAATACTAGTATTTACGCGACCGCATGAAGCCCCCTTTTAGATGAATTTCTTTTGTTTTTAATTGTTTATCGCATTTCCATATTGCTTTTGTTTTACGGAACCATCTCCTTTTCGTCCTTGCAACCGAAGGCGTTTGAATTTTGCATTGTTATTTTAAATTATTGTATTATGTTATGGATGCTTAACTACGTAACACCCAAGTAGGACAACTTATTGCGCTATTAGTTTTTACATAATTTCAAATTGTTATTAACTGCTAACACAAATTTTAAAAGTGAAATAAAAATATATTTTCATTAATTTACAACCAATTTTTAATGTTCCGGCCCTGTGCTGAATGTGTTGCCTAGGACAAGACTACAGACCGTAAAGACGACCACCTGCGGCACCATGATGGCCGGCGCCTTAAGCACGCTCACCAGACAGGCAGCGCTCGGCTGGGAATCGCTGCTCGGGCGGTAAGTTTTGAGTTTGTGCGTCCAGGTGCGGGCAATGGATTCCGTTTAGAGATACGGCCGGCAGTCCACGTAGTGACGAATCGCACCGGGAATGTGCGCGAGGACACCACTGAGTATATGCGCAGAATGGAAAATCTGCTACGATAATGCGATAGAAACAAGTAATACATCGATCTAAAGGTATTATTGTTCTCTGTTCACGCCAAAAGGGCGTTTAATTTCTGGAGGCAGTGTCGGGCGGCAGTTTTCTCCAGATGTCCACATCTCGCTCGCTCGCACTGCCCTTCGCTCTCCCTCTCCAACTCTCCCGCTACTCTCCGCACCGCTCCGGAGTCTTTAAGCTAAGCTTCTACTTTTTAGTTCGTATTTTTCCAAGTGTTACAATAAACAGCCGCACGTCGCGCAAAACCCCGAAAGTTTTCCACCGTGTTTTCGATACTATTTCTGCGCGGATTTCCACCACTTTTCCTGGGACTTCAGCAATTCTACTATCAAGCCACCCCCGCCCCAACATTTGGTCCTTCGAGCCGGATCTTTGGACTTCCACTCCTGGATTTTTCCGAAGATTATTTCCAGCGCCTACGGTGGCTTGAACCGCTTCAGCTAAGTTCAATTTCCAATTGTTATTATTTGCCGGTCATACAGCCAGTTGTTCGAACCCCATTTCGTTCAATTTGTTGTATGATTTCATGTCTAAATCGAAAAGCGATTTAATCCGACGCAACGGCATTTAATATATTATTCAATTCCTTTTGTTTGTACGCGGCATTTTTTTCCATTCCTTTATGCCGAAAATTTCGTACACTCCAAAAAATTCCGTGCAAGTTTGCAAATCCGCAGTGATAATTTATTTAAGTTCCAAATAAATATATTCCTAAAAACTCCAAGTGTGTGTAAAAATATAACCCAGCCGCAGTAAAAATTTCCGATTTTTCAAATTATTCCGCAAAAACTGCACTCTGCATTTTTTTACTGTGTTCCAGCTGCGTGTATATATTTTTACATAAATATTCCAATACAGTCCACTTCTACTACACTGCATTTTTTAAATAAATTGCAAGACCCCAAGACAACACAAACCTACAGTACCACACGGCCATTATTGCATAAATCCTAATTTTTAAAAATATATATTCATAAAATAAACTTTTTCGTGTGTAATAAATATACAATCCAGCCACAGTAAATATTTCCAAATCAAAGTGATCCGCCGAAATTGGCAGCTTTTGTGTTTTTACTGTGTTTCCTGCTGCGTATATATTTTTTTTTTACATAATTATTCCAAAATACAGTACACTTCAACTACAATTTCAAATACAGTCCACTGCAACTACAATTTCGAATACTGTCCACATCAAAATAGTTTTTTTCTACGATCAATCCCAAATTATTTCCAAGTCCAAATACAAAGCTTAAATTTCTATAAATTTACACCGGCAATTACATTGCATTACACATTACACTCCCGCAATCGGTGCCCTTTCTCTATCCAGCTGTTCGCTGCAGACATACATACATACGTACTCGAAGTCTCCACAATTCCCGCAATCGGTGCCCATCCGCTATCCAGCTGGGCGTTACATACATACGTACATACATATTCAGCAGCGCACCGTGGGTCAAAGATATCCAAAAAATTAAAATATACTATTTTTTTCAAATATATTTCAACAAAAATTCTAACTAACTTATAAAGTTAGAAAAATTAATATACGCATCCACGAGTGTCAGTGTGACCATATTTTTCCGTTTGCATAAATAATTAATTATTTTTTGTGCATACACTTTAATATTTTTCGTTATTATTTCAAAAAAAATAGAAAAGAATCTCCACACAACTTCATCCACACAATCCAGTGTGACCGTATATCCTTACGGACTTTTCAATTGGTTCCTAAATTCCAAATTGTTTATTAATTTTTTACCCACCTCTATAAATAGTTATTATTTGACATGGCATCCCAAGCAAAATCCGCTTTAAATAAATTTATTGTCACAGCTGACACTCTGATCCATTTTGAAGCTATCATTACTGTTCCGGGTGCATCCACCCCTACCTTATCCGTCCTCAAAATCCGTAGGGAGCATGTCAGTTCCTTGTGGCAAAAGGTCAAGGAATCATATGACATATGCTCCGATTGCATTGTGGCTGCAGGCGATAGCGCCGCAGATACGAAATCTATGCTCAAGGCGAAATACAATATAACGTACGATGTATACGAAAGGGTCGCCGCTCAGATCCTCGGGCAAATCGAAATCCAACAGGGCTCCTCCCAAAAATCTCAAACTCCAGTAACTCCGTCCCAAAGTGTATTATCTTATGGCTGTCGACTCCCTCCTATCGACACAGAGGTTTTTTCGGGCGACTATCTTCGCTGGCCTACTTTCCGGGACCTTTTCACGGCGATATATATAGACAATCCGAGTCTAACGCCCGTTGAAAAATTATTCCATTTAAATTCAAAAACTAGTGGCGAAGCTAATTCCATAGTTTCCAGATCCCCACTCACCAATGATGGCTTCCGCTCAGCTTGGACAAATCTAACTGAGCGTTTCGAAAATAAGCGATTCCAGGTGAACAGCCACCTGAAAACTCTTTTCAATGTGCAGTCTATAGCACAAGAGTCTGGAGATGCCTTGAAGGAACTTCAACACACCATTCAAGGATGTTTAACTGCCTTAGAACTATCCGGCATTCAAATTGAGAATTGGGACCCTATTCTAGTCTACATTTGCTCCACAAAGCTACCAAAGCTCACGCTCTCATTATGGGAGCAATCCATTCAAAATAAAGCCGAAATTCCTACTTGGCTCGAGCTTAATTCCTTTTTAACAAAACGCCATCGAACACTAGAGGCCGTCGATAGCATCCGGTCCGCTAATTCACTCCATGTCCAGCCCAAACAGACACATCGAATGGCAGAATTGCCAAGAATAAATTCTTTTACCACGAGGCTACTTCAAATACCCAAAGGCTGCGATCTGTGTTTAAAAGAAAAACACCCCGTGCGTATATGTCCACGCTTTCTCCAAATGACGGTGAATGATCGTTCAGCCTACATCCGCGATAAACAGTTGTGCTCGAATTGCTTTGCAACCAGCCATCCACTAGGTGATTGCACAAGCTCCAAAAACTGCTTCACTTGCCAAGGTCGGCATCATACGCTGTTGCATCCAAGCAACAATTCTACAATGACTTCGATTTCATCTCACTCTTCAAGGCCAGTGTCCGCCTCAATCCCGCACCGAATATCATCCTTCTCAGCGCGTGTTTCTAACGTGCATGGGACTAATAGAATTGCCGATCCGGACCCGAGTATAAAGGTCCTTCCTACAAGGAGTCATTCCAAATATTGGGTTCCATATCCCGCCTTGGATGGCAGACGTTCCCGAGGTATTAAATCCTACCAATGCCGAGTCTGCCAAAAGATCCATCCGCTACGGAAATGCCACCGCTTTCTGCGGCTTAGTGCCGAGAAACGGCTCCAGGAAGTACGTATCCACAAGTACTGTTCCAATTGCTTGGCCCATGATCATTCCGAGGACTCCTGCCGCAGTGATGACCACTGCCACAAGTGTGGAAAGGACCACCACACTCTTCTACACCTGGACGACCGCACCCGCTATCCTGCGGAAACTTCTCCTGATGTTTTGCTACGGTGGTCCTCGCAAGGGGGGGGAGAATGTTCACGCCAAAAGGGCGTTTAATTTCTGGAGGCAGTGTCGGGCGGCAGTTTTCTCCAGATGTCCACATCTCGCTCGCTCGCACTGCCCTTCGCTCTCCCTCTCCAACTCTCCCGCTACTCTCCGCACCGCTCCGGAGTCTTTAAGCTAAGCTTCTACTTTTTAGTTCGTATTTTTCCAAGTGTTACAATAAACAGCCGCACGTCGCGCAAAACCCCGAAAGTTTTCCACCGTGTTTTCGATACTATTTCTGCGCGGATTTCCACCACTTTTCCTGGGACTTCAGCAATTCTACTATCAAGCCACCCCCGCCCCAACATTTGATGACCAAATGTTTGGTGGGGGGCGTCGCAAGTATTTCTTTTAGGCGTTGAAGGCAGCTTCCGTGGCGGTGCGGCTTGTTGCAATAGCCGGTGGCAAGCTGTGGGGGAGAGAAATGAAACACTCGACGATCGCGAAGCGCGAGAGAAAAGAAGAACACACTGAACTTTCCGTAATTAGCGCGGACCGGCCGGGCGATGTATTTCAAAGAGTTTACAGTGAGAACTGAACTTAAAACTAATGAGCGCTGTGCTTCAGAGCGCTGTGGAGAGATCCCGGGCGTGGGAAGGCGGGAGAGCGGGAGAGCCTGGAAGTAGGCATTCCCAGCGAGGGAAGAGCGAGCATTGGAAGAGGGGGATTTAAGAGCGGGGCAAGCGGCGTAAACATTCCGCCCCCCTTGCAATCGCTAGCGTTGCAACGAAGCCCCAAGTGTCATCTAGGACAGGTTGCAGGCACCGGACAGGATCCACCCGAAAGTCGTCCGCTGGGCCACTGGGAGTCCCTCGTCGACCAGGTGGAAGCCAGGACGGATGACCTTGCCGTAGACGTCGGCACCCAGGACCACGGAGATGGTTGCCGGTAAATAGAACCGCTCGTCGGCCAACGGGAGGTCGCTGTATTTGCTGACCACGGTGTCAGCAAGCTCTCGGATGGGGGTGCGGATGCGGACGTTTGGCTCCACCTTCAGGACCACCTCCAACTTGAAGTCGTCGTCGCGCTTCGACCGAATCGTCGCCGTACAAATCCGCTCGTCGCCGACGGTGGTAGTCGGCAAGCGGAACGCAGTAGCCAGGGATGCGTCGATGCAACTTGTCGGCGTACACGGGTCGATGAGGGCGGCTGTGTCGAACTTCTTGAGCCCGGTCTCCAGGATTACCATGGCCGTCGGCAGGACGTTGACACTGTGCCGCTGGAGGATGGACGCCAGTGACGGTGCCGGTGTCGAGGAGGCTGAGCGCGGCGGAGAGGCAAGCGCTCTGCGAGTTGGCGGATTTTGCCGGCGCGAGCGCTGCTGAGAAGCGGCGGATGCCGAGCGCCTTGCCGGGGCCAGCGCTTGGCGAGTTGGCGGATTTTGCCGGCGCGAACGCTGATTGGTAGCCGACGGCAGAGGGCGCTCGTGCATATGGAGGAGCGTGTGGTGCTTCCCGCTGCACGTTTTGCACTTGTCGCCACTGCGACAACTCACGTCAGAGTGCTCGTGAGCGAGACAATTTGAGCAGTACTTGTTGACAAGCACTGCTCGAAGCCGCTTCTCAGCAGCGCTCGCGCCGGCAAAATCCGCCAACTCGCAGAGCGCTTGCCTCTCCGCCGCGCTCAGCCTCCTCGACACCGGCACCGTCACTGGCGTCCATCCTCCAGCGGCACAGTGTCAACGTCCTGCCGACGGCCATGGTAATCCTGGAGACCGGGCTCAAGAAGTTCGACACAGCCGCCCTCATCGACCCGTGTACGCCGACAAGTTGCATCGACGCATCCCTGGCTACTGCGTTCCGCTTGCCGACTACCACCGTCGGCGACGAGCGGATTTGTACGGCGACGATTCGGTCGAAGCGCGACGACGACTTCAAGTTGGAGGTGGTCCTGAAGGTGGAGCCAAACGTCCGCATCCGCACCCCCATCCGAGAGCTTGCTGACACCGTGGTCAGCAAATACAGCGACCTCCCGTTGGCCGACGAGCGGTTCTATTTACCGGCAACCATCTCCGTGGTCCTGGGTGCCGACGTCTACGGCAAGGTCATCCGTCCTGGCTTCCACCTGGTCGACGAGGGACTCCCAGTGGCCCAGCGGACGACTTTCGGGTGGATCCTGTCCGGTGCCTGCAACCTGTCCTAGATGACACTTGGGGCTTCGTTGCAACGCTAGCGATTGCAAGGGGGGCGGAATGTTTACGCCGCTTGCCCCGCTCTTAAATCCCCCTCTTCCAATGCTCGCTCTTCCCTCGCTGGGAATGCCTACTTCCAGGCTCTCCCGCTCTCCCGCCTTCCCACGCCCGGGATCTCTCCACAGCGCTCTGAAGCACAGCGCTCATTAGTTTTAAGTTCAGTTCTCACTGTAAACTCTTTGAAATACATCGCCCGGCCGGTCCGCGCTAATTACGGAAAGTTCAGTGTGTTCTTCTTTTCTCTCGCGCTTCGCGATCGTCGAGTGTTTCATTTCTCTCCCCCACAGCTTGCCACCGGCTATTGCAACAAGCCGCACCGCCACGGAAGCTGCCTTCAACGCCTAAAAGAAATACTTGCGACGCCCCCCACCAAACATTTTGTGGTCCTTCGAGCCGGATGGATTGTGTTCGGATTGAACATGTGCCCAATTGGCTGCCTCTGTGGACTGGGTAATCTTTGTCACCCGATTGGCAACGAACGTTGTCCATTGGCATGCTGGTTTGGCGAGCCATGCAAGCACAATCGTGGAATCGGTCCAACAATGGAGTTTCGAGGACAGCACAGGCATATGGGGGAGGATGGATTCAGCCATCTCGGACAGCAATAGAGCTCCACACAGCTCTAGCCGTGGAAGCGACACAGCTTTGACTGGCGCCACGCGCGTCTTGGCTGTAAGGAGACGCACTAGCGTCGTGTGCCCAATTTCTACGCGCACATAGATCGCAGCACCATACGCCTTTTGAGAGGCGTCACAGAATCCATGATGCTCGACTCGGAACTCTGGGCGGAAGGAAACCCATCTGGGAATTCGGACTTGATCTAGGACCGAGTAGCTTTGGAGAAAATCACGCCACTTTTGGCACAGTTCAATTGGGAGTTCATCATCCCACCCAAGATCATGAAGCCAGATCTCCTGCATGAAAATCTTGGCACAGACCACGAAAGGAGCGAGCCAGCCTGCTGGATCGAACAGCTTGGCGATTTGGGAAAGAACATGACGTTTCGTGAGCGTGGCTTCGTTGGATAGGTCTGGAGGGGCGAAGAAAAACTCATCGGATGTTGCTTTCCAACGGACTCCGAGAGTTTTCGCCGTGCTTTCCGTATCTATCTCGAGGAACTCGGCGTTTAAAAGATGATTGGTCTCGATATGAGCCAGAACTTCTTTATGGTTGGAGGTCCACTTTCTTAATGGAAAACCAGCCGAATCGAGAGCACTCTGCAACTCGCGAATGGTAAGGTGAGCCTCTTCTGCAGAGTCAGCTCCCGAAAGGACATCATCGACGTACATGCAACCACGAATAACTTTACTCGCCCTCGGATGGGTTAGTTGCACGTCGGTCGCCAGCTGTTGCAGGACCCGAATTGCCAGAAACGGTGCACAATTGACCCCAAACGTAACAGTTTTTAGCTCAAAATCGCGAATGTATCCTTCTCTATTGCGGAATAAGATACGTTGGAACGCTGTCTGTTTCGGATCTACCCAGATCTGCCGATACATTTTCTCGATATCAGCACTGTACACAAAACGGAAATATCGCCACTTCAGGATCTGGATGGTTAGATCGGACTGTAGGACCGGGCCAGCATGAAGGATATCATTTAAGCTGACCCCATTGTCTGAAGGGCTGGAGGCATTGAATACCACTCGAAGTTTGGTGGTCGTACTCTCCGGTTTTAACACCGCGTGGTGTGGGAGGTAATAACACGCTGAATCGTGGGTAGGAGGGACTTCTCTCATGTGGTTGAGGTCGAGATATTCTTGAATTACTGAGTCGTACTTGGATTTTAGCGTACTGTCCCTTTTTAGCCGCTGCTCGTTTCTTAAGAATTGAGCCAACGCCAGGGATCTGGAATGTCCTAGGGAGCATTTCATGTTCTCAGGATCTCGAAAGGGAAGACTCACGACATACCTGCCGGTATCGTCTTTTGTGGTGGTCCGAAGGAAATTATCCTCACAGATCACGTCGGATTCTTTTGCCACCTTTACTGGCAGATCCTCCACCTCCCAGAATTTGGTGAGGAGTTTATCGAGAGACGCTTCGTTTGTGTGTGCAACATGCGTAGAAAACGATGAAATTCTATCTTGCCTCGGAGCGGGTACTGGTCCTGTTAGAATCCAGCCGAAAATGGTCTCTTGACCGAGAAGAGAGCCACAGATATTCGCTCGGGTGCCGCTTAGTAGAATGGAAGGAAGTATATCGGCCCCGATTAAAAGATCTATTTGTGCGCTCTCATAAAACTTTGGATCCGCTAGTGGAAGTTCGGGAAGATCTCGCAGGAAATGTTGCGGAAGCGGACATGAGGGAAGATTTCCGGCTATTTGCGGAAGCACGTAGGCAGTGGTGTTTAACTGCAAACTAGGCCGGGTCGGAGAACGAATCGTCAATTGGCAGAGCTTTTTAGTCTCAGCGGAGACCGTTTGATTAAGCCCTGAGACCTGTGCTTGGATAACCTGGAACGGCAGCTTAATCAGGTTGAAAAGGCGCTCAGTAATGAAGGTAGCCTCAGATCCGGAGTCTATTAAGGCTCGCGCTTGGTAGTTGGAACCCTGATGGCATATATTAATCATGGCGGCGCCCAAATAGCAGACCAAATAGCGCAGACTCCGCAAAATCCGCAAGCTACCTCCACTCCAGATACTCCTCAGACTTACATTCCGTCAGGCTGCCACCTTCCGCCGTGCGATACTGAGGTTTTTACCGGCGATTATCTTCGTTGGCCAACCTTCAGGGATCTATTCACGGCAATTTACATCAACAATCCTCGACTCACTCCTGTCGAGAAATTATTCCATCTCAATGCTAAGACGAGGGGCGACGCTCACAATATAGTTGCAATCCGGCTCGAAGGACCAAAATGTTTGGTGGGGGGCGTCGCAAGTATTTCTTTTAGGCGTTGAAGGCAGCTTCCGTGGCGGTGCGGCTTGTTGCAATAGCCGGTGGCAAGCTGTGGGGGAGAGAAATGAAACACTCGACGATCGCGAAGCGCGAGAGAAAAGAAGAACACACTGAACTTTCCGTAATTAGCGCGGACCGGCCGGGCGATGTATTTCAAAGAGTTTACAGTGAGAACTGAACTTAAAACTAATGAGCGCTGTGCTTCAGAGCGCTGTGGAGAGATCCCGGGCGTGGGAAGGCGGGAGAGCGGGAGAGCCTGGAAGTAGGCATTCCCAGCGAGGGAAGAGCGAGCATTGGAAGAGGGGGGATTTAAGAGCGGGGCAAGCGGCGTAAACATTCCGCCCCCCTTGCAATCGCTAGCGTTGCAACGAAGCCCCAAGTGTCATCTAGGACAGGTTGCAGGCACCGGACAGGATCCACCCGAAAGTCGTCCGCTGGGCCACTGGGAGTCCCTCGTCGACCAGGTGGAAGCCAGGACGGATGACCTTGCCGTAGACGTCGGCACCCAGGACCACGGAGATGGTTGCCGGTAAATAGAACCGCTCGTCGGCCAACGGGAGGTCGCTGTATTTGCTGACCACGGTGTCAGCAAGCTCTCGGATGGGGGTGCGGATGCGGACGTTTGGCTCCACCTTCAGGACCACCTCCAACTTGAAGTCGTCGTCGCGCTTCGACCGAATCGTCGCCGTACAAATCCGCTCGTCGCCGACGGTGGTAGTCGGCAAGCGGAACGCAGTAGCCAGGGATGCGTCGATGCAACTTGTCGGCGTACACGGGTCGATGAGGGCGGCTGTGTCGAACTTCTTGAGCCCGGTCTCCAGGATTACCATGGCCGTCGGCAGGACGTTGACACTGTGCCGCTGGAGGATGGACGCCAGTGACGGTGCCGGTGTCGAGGAGGCTGAGCGCGGCGGAGAGGCAAGCGCTCTGCGAGTTGGCGGATTTTGCCGGCGCGAGCGCTGCTGAGAAGCGGCGGATGCCGAGCGCCTTGCCGGGGCCAGCGCTTGGCGAGTTGGCGGATTTTGCCGGCGCGAACGCTGATTGGTAGCCGACGGCAGAGGGCGCTCGTGCATATGGAGGAGCGTGTGGTGCTTCCCGCTGCACGTTTTGCACTTGTCGCCACTGCGACAACTCACGTCAGAGTGCTCGTGAGCGAGACAATTTGAGCAGCACTTGTTGACAAGCACTGCTCGAAGCCGCTTCTCTGCGCTCAGCTTTAGGAACCTCTGGCACTTTCGAAGCGGATGGATTCCACGGCAGACTCGGCAACGGTAGGAATTTAAACCTCGAGTACGTCTGCTCTCCAAAGCCTGAGCGCTGCGTGGACGAGGAACCATGATGTGATCTGGTAGGGAGTAATGGACAAAAAGAAACAAACATGGAGATGATTTAAAAATGATTAGATGACGAGGATGGTTAGAGAATTATGCGGAGGATGTTGGTTGAGGAAGACGGTTGGAGTGTTCTCCTGGCAGAAGAACCACCTTGGTCACGGGACGCTTAATAATCTTGCGTGCCGTGAGAATGTTGACGACACGGACATTGCCGTCAGCCCCCGGAAAAACAGAGACGATTCTGCCAAGGCGCCACTCATTCGAGGGCAGATTGTCTTCTTTGACGACTACCAGGTCGCCAACGCGGAGATTTGCGGTCGGGGCCTGCCACTTGTTACGCTTGTGGAGCTCCTTGAGATACTCCTCTTTCCATCGAGCTTGGAATTGCTGATGGAGCGCCTTTAAGTGTTGCCAACGATTCACAATGGACTTGGATTCCCCTTTTAATTCGGGCTCTACTATGGACAGAAGAGGTCCGCCGACGAGAAAATGCCCTGGTGTCAACGCTAAGAGATCTAAGGATCTTCTGACATGGGAGATAGCGGTCTGGAATTTAGACAAGCTTCAATTTTCGCTAGGAGGGTTGAAAGCTCCTCAAAGGTGTACTTTCGAGTAGCGGTGGACTTGTAAAACAAGGTTTTGAAGCTTTTGACACCAGCTTCCCACAGGCCTCCCATATGGGGTGCCCCCGGAGGAATGAATTGCCAGTTGAGCTGCTGATGACTATACGCATCAGTCACAGACTCTTTTACGGCTTGTAGAAAATCTCGGGAGAGCAGGGTGGCAGCGCCGACAAAGGTTTTCCCATTGTCGGACTGCACTTGACGGGGACAACCTCTTCTGGATACGAACCGAGCGAAAGCGGCGAGAAATTTCTCGGTCGTCAGATCGGATGTAGGCTCTAGATGGATGGCCTTTGTGGAGAAACATACGAAAACCAACACATACCCTTTTGTAATTAGGCACGCTCTGCCTGTGTAATTTTTGATGTCGAAAGGGCCAGCGTAGTCCATCCCTGTGTACGTGAATGGCCGGGAAAAAGACACTCGCTCTTTCGGGAAACTTCCCATCATCTGAATTTGCAAGCGCTTCTTATGAATAACGCAGACCTTGCAGGAGTTAATCACAGCCTTTACCAAGTTCTTTATTCTCGGAATCCAGTATCTTGACCGGGTGAGACGTACGACTAACTGGTTACCTCCGTGCAACGTTATGAGATGCGTAAAGTTCACCAGTAGTCGAGAGAGTGCACATTCGTACGGGAGTATTATCGGATGTCGTTCGTCATATCGCAAGTTTTCGGAGGCCGTTATGCGGCCGCAAGCCCTTATAAGCCCTTTCTGATCTAGAAAGGGGTTTAAGGAGAGGATTGAACTTGTCGCGGACACAGGACGCTTTTGACTCAAGCAGCGATATTCATTAGAAAAATATCTGCGCTGAGTGCTAATGACCATGAGCCGTTCAGCGGCGACAAGTTCTTGGGCTTCTAGACGGACTTCCGACTTCTGCGACTGTTTCTTACATCGCTGGACAAAACGGTGGACATACGCAAGGACCCGTAAAGCTCTATCTAACTTGGAAAAGCGATCAAGGATGTCTTCTGTCGGGATGGACGCCACATGGGCCTTGACAGGACGCCTTTCCACTTCGGTCACCTGTAAGTCGGTGCTTTGGGAAGGCCACTGATCTCGTGGCTTTGACAACCAAGTTGGTCCATGCCACCAAAGGGAGTTGTCGATCAGGTCTTGTAGAGGCACTCCCCGACTGGCCAAGTCGGCTGGATTGTGTTCGGATTGAACATGTGCCCAATTGGCTGCCTCTGTGGACTGGGTAATCTTTGTCACCCGATTGGCAACGAACGTTGTCCATTGGCATGCTGGTTTGGCGAGCCATGCAAGCACAATCGTGGAATCGGTCCAACAATGGAGTTTCGAGGACAGCACAGGCATATGGGGGAGGATGGATTCAGCCATCTCGGACAGCAATAGAGCTCCACACAGCTCTAGCCGTGGAAGCGACACAGCTTTGACTGGCGCCACGCGCGTCTTGGCTGTAAGGAGACGCACTAGCGTCGTGTGCCCAATTTCTACGCGCACATAGATCGCAGCACCATACGCCTTTTGAGAGGCGTCACAGAATCCATGATGCTCGACTCGGAACTCTGGGCGGAAGGAAACCCATCTGGGAATTCGGACTTGATCTAGGACCGAGTAGCTTTGGAGAAAATCACGCCACTTTTGGCACAGTTCAATTGGGAGTTCATCATCCCACCCAAGATCATGAAGCCAGATCTCCTGCATGAAAATCTTGGCACAGACCACGAAAGGAGCGAGCCAGCCTGCTGGATCGAACAGCTTGGCGATTTGGGAAAGAACATGACGTTTCGTGAGCGTGGCTTCGTTGGATAGGTCTGGAGGGGCGAAGAAAAACTCATCGGATGTTGCTTTCCAACGGACTCCGAGAGTTTTCGCCGTGCTTTCCGTATCTATCTCGAGGAACTCGGCGTTTAAAAGATGATTGGTCTCGATATGAGCCAGAACTTCTTTATGGTTGGAGGTCCACTTTCTTAATGGAAAACCAGCCGAATCGAGAGCACTCTGCAACTCGCGAATGGTAAGGTGAGCCTCTTCTGCAGAGTCAGCTCCCGAAAGGACATCATCGACGTACATGCAACCACGAATAACTTTACTCGCCCTCGGATGGGTTAGTTGCACGTCGGTCGCCAGCTGTTGCAGGACCCGAATTGCCAGAAACGGTGCACAATTGACCCCAAACGTAACAGTTTTTAGCTCAAAATCGCGAATGTATCCTTCTCTATTGCGGAATAAGATACGTTGGAACGCTGTCTGTTTCGGATCTACCCAGATCTGCCGATACATTTTCTCGATATCAGCACTGTACACAAAACGGAAATATCGCCACTTCAGGATCTGGATGGTTAGATCGGACTGTAGGACCGGGCCAGCATGAAGGATATCATTTAAGCTGACCCCATTGTCTGAAGGGCTGGAGGCATTGAATACCACTCGAAGTTTGGTGGTCGTACTCTCCGGTTTTAACACCGCGTGGTGTGGGAGGTAATAACACGCTGAATCGTGGGTAGGAGGGACTTCTCTCATGTGGTTGAGGTCGAGATATTCTTGAATTACTGAGTCGTACTTGGATTTTAGCGTACTGTCCCTTTTTAGCCGCTGCTCGTTTCTTAAGAATTGAGCCAACGCCAGGGATCTGGAATGTCCTAGGGAGCATTTCATGTTCTCAGGATCTCGAAAGGGAAGACTCACGACATACCTGCCGGTATCGTCTTTTGTGGTGGTCCGAAGGAAATTATCCTCACAGATCACGTCGGATTCTTTTGCCACCTTTACTGGCAGATCCTCCACCTCCCAGAATTTGGTGAGGAGTTTATCGAGAGACGCTTCGTTTGTGTGTGCAACATGCGTAGAAAACGATGAAATTCTATCTTGCCTCGGAGCGGGTACTGGTCCTGTTAGAATCCAGCCGAAAATGGTCTCTTGACCGAGAAGAGAGCCACAGATATTCGCTCGGGTGCCGCTTAGTAGAATGGAAGGAAGTATATCGGCCCCGATTAAAAGATCTATTTGTGCGCTCTCATAAAACTTTGGATCCGCTAGTGGAAGTTCGGGAAGATCTCGCAGGAAATGTTGCGGAAGCGGACATGAGGGAAGATTTCCGGCTATTTGCGGAAGCACGTAGGCAGTGGTGTTTAACTGCAAACTAGGCCGGGTCGGAGAACGAATCGTCAATTGGCAGAGCTTTTTAGTCTCAGCGGAGACCGTTTGATTAAGCCCTGAGACCTGTGCTTGGATAACCTGGAACGGCAGCTTAATCAGGTTGAAAAGGCGCTCAGTAATGAAGGTAGCCTCAGATCCGGAGTCTATTAAGGCTCGCGCTTGGTAGTTGGAACCCTGATGGCATATATTAATCATGGCGGTGCCTAGGAGGACTGACCTAGAGCCTGCCGCAAAATAATTTTGAAGTGTTGGCTGCGTGCCACTGGCAGCCGAGGGACCGGGAGTATTCGGTCTGGATCTGGGCGTTGGCGTTGGATTTGCGCGCGTTGGGGATGGGGTGCCTCGGTGTAGGAGGGTGTGATGGCGGCCGCGGCACGTAAAGCAATTATGTGCGCTTTCGCAGTCGCGCAGCTGATGTGTCCGCGCAAAGCAGTTCAAACACAGCTGTTTTCGTTTAATATAGGCGATCCGTTGGTCGACCGTCATCCGCAGAAACTGGGCGCATGTGCGTATTGGATGGTTTTCTCTATTACAGAGATCGCACCCTCTAGGTTGTCGAGGCGTTACCCTTGTCTCATAAGAATTTATTCTCCGAGACGCCGAGTTGGATGTGGATGCCCTGGGCTGAGCCTGACTAGAACCTGATGGTCGAACATCATCTATGGCTTCTAGGGTTCTGTGACGTTCCGTTAGGAAAACGTTCAGCTCATGCCACGTAGGGATCTCGGCTTTGTTGTGAAGGGACTGCTCCCATAGGGAAAGCGTAAGCTTTGGGAGTTTGGATGAGCACATATACACCAAGAGGCAATCCCAAGTTTCGACCTGAATACCGGACATATCTAACGCCGTAAGGCACCCCTGGATGGTACTTTGAAGTTCTTTCAAAGCTGACCCAGACTCCTGTGTGACGGACGGCACATTGAAGAGTATCTTCAATTGACTGTTTACTAACAATCGCTTGTTTTCGAAACGCTCAGTGAGGTTATCCCACGCTGAGCGAAAGCCATCGTTAGTAAGGGGTGAATTTGCAACTATATTGTGAGCGTCGCCCCTCGTCTTAGCATTGAGATGGAATAATTTCTCGACAGGAGTGAGTCGAGGATTGTTGATGTAAATTGCCGTGAATAGATCCCTGAAGGTTGGCCAACGAAGATAATCGCCGGTAAAAACCTCAGTATCGCACGGCGGAAGGTGGCAGCCTGACGGAATGTAAGTCTGAGGAGTATCTGGAGTGGAGGTAGCTTGCGGATTTTGCGGAGTCTGCGCTATTTGGTCTGCTATTTGGGCGCCGCACCTTTCGTACGCGCTGTAGCAGTAACCGTACTTAGCCTTGAGAACTGGCAACATGTCAGCTGCACTTTCTCCGGCTGCTACAAGGCACGCGGTACACGCATCGTACTCTTTTTTGATGCGGACCCATACCTCTTTGATTTCGTCTCGGCGAATATTGAGGACGGACAACGTAGGAGGGACTCTTTAAATTTTGATACTAGAACATTTCAAAACTTTATTGGTTTGGTAGAAATTCTAATCAAAGAAGAAAAATAAAAAGTTGGATAATTAGCGTTAGGAAGACCAAGGATCCACACGCGTTGAACGAACCCAATATTGTCCAAAAACTATGAGCTATTTTAAGGTTTTTTGGTACTTATTAAATGAAAACCTAAGGGCCGTTTTTTCGTCCGCCTGTTAAATTTAAAGTAGGGTTAAAACTGTGATTTTCCATACGAATTGAAGGTTTCAATCTTACTTTAAATTTAACAAACGGCCCTAAATGTACGTTTAGTACGTACAATATAACGGGTATAACGAGGACGGAAGCTAACTTCGGCAAGCCGAAGTTTTAATACCCTAGCAAATTTTACGAATTAAAATTTGACTACAATAGCAACATGAATTAATAAACAAAAAATTACATAATTCAAAAAATACAATTTTTAAATTTTTCACCCTATTGGTCCTATAGGGGCTATAGGATATACCGGCCTGTTTCAGTTTTCACTCGGAAGTGAATTTTTTTTGGCGGAAAGTTACCATGTGCATTTTTCGGAAGTTAACAGCGTAACAACGAGGGATATTTAAATCCTTGCAATTCTTTCGGAAGTGAGTCCTGGAACAGGTCTGAGAAATTCGATTCCGTGTGAATCTTTCGGAAGTGAAAACTAGAACAGGGCCGATAGACGTCCGATCGGAACGCGGTTTTACCCTGATCAAGGTAGGCACAAAAAATACGATTTAGAAAGATTCATGTCAATAGCTTTTACACTGCGCAAAATATCCCGAAAACCATCAAATTTTAACCGATTTCACTCTATTATTCCTATGGGAGCTATAGGATATAGACGTCCGATCGGCACGCGCTTTTACCCTGATCAAGGTATGCACAAAAAAAATACGATTCGAAAAGATTCATGTCAAGAACTTTTACACTGCGCAAAAAAACTTCGGTTTTTGCAAGTTATATCCGATTGTTCCTATGGGATAGGATATAGACGTCCGATCGGTTCGATTTTCCAACTTTATCTGCGTACACATGTTTTAGGACGACTGTGAAAGTTTTAAGTCGCTAGCTTTTAGACTGAGCTCGCAAAGGGTATTGAAACAGACATTCAGACGGACATGGCTACATCGACTACCCTATTGAACCTGATCAAGAACATATATACTTTATGGGGTCGGAAACGTCTCCTTCACTGCGTTACAAACTTCTGACCAAAATTATAATACCCTCTGCAGGGGTATAAATAACAATTTTTTACCGCTTTTGGAAAAACCCACTAGTTTAGCGGGAAAACATTAAAAAAATCTCGATTAGAAATGTCCATAGGAACGCGCTAGATTTCATTCAAGAGGTATTTTAAAATAGTATTCATCAAATAAGTACACTTCTTAAATTTTTACTCATTCGGAAATATTCCTGAAAAGCTGTACAATATAAAGGAAGTGTGACGAATCGGACAAAGTTACAAAGTATATAAATGTTCGTCACAAAGTATGATATTAGAACTTTTGTATGTTAAAGGTGCTATCGTCACTAGTTTTGTACCTCGTTTTTGATTGACTATAATCAATACATATAGTATATATCTATTAGTATAACTATTATTAAATTTTATATTATTACGAACTGTAAATGCTTGGCTGAAAATTCTGAAAACAAATAAAATTAAATTTCAAATAAAAATTAAAATAATATTCAAAACGCCAAAGAGTAGTTACTCAGCCTTCTTATAAGTTTTTATCGCCCCATTTCAAATAATTTCCATTTTGCATTAACATAATTTGTGTTGTAATTCAAATTCATTGCATTTTTGCGTCGAAAATCACGAACAAAACAGGCCCACAGGGTGTGCCATAATTTGTCTCGTAGTTCAAATTATTTACATTTTTGCGCCAAAAAACTTAAACAGGGTGTAATGGGTCCGGGTTTGGGTAGTTTTAAAACGAATATTAATAATGAAACATATGGTTTTTAATCACTAAAAGGTGAGTAATATATAAACGGCACATTTTTTAAACTTAATTTAATAAATCACTTCTTTGCTTTTAGTTAAGTTTTGCTTCCCAAAAATCCCCCCTGATAATGGTATTCGACCACACCTCTGCCTATCCAAACATCTGTTCAATTTACCGACCATGTTTTGTAATATTATAAAACGCTCGTTCCAAGCGAATATCAGGCATGTGAATAGCTTGAATGCGCTGCGGTTGGTCAGCTCCAATGGACCCCAAAGCGACATCAAGGATGCACTGGACATAGAGGCCAATCTCTTCGGGAATTCAGGTTTGAAGCACCAACCGGTAAACACGCGGGAAGTTTTACGCAAGACGAGAACAAAATATGTTGCAGCAAAGAAAACCAAGGAACCCAGTGCTCCAGTTCCCCCACGCAAGTTCGTGGCTCATGCACTCCCTGCTCCACGGGTGGCTGCTATTCCTGCTCCAGTGATCAAGGACAGTGAGCTAAACCTGGAGTTTGTGCGTCTCACCTTGCAGGATCCTTTGACCAGCACTCTGTTGACCACAGTGCGTTCCCGCAAGCGCCGGGACAAGTATCGGCAGATCATCGTCGAGGGCAGACGACTCATCCAGGAAGCCCTGCAATGCGGACTCAAAATGGAGGCCCTCTTCTTCAGCCAAAAGGACCAGTTGGCGTTGGTGAAGGAGGAGGTGGGCAGGGCGCAGCTGGAGGCGGGCACCATGATCTACAAGGTTCCGCAGCACGACCTGAAGACGTGGTCCTCGCTGGTAACCCCTCCCGGTCTAATGGCCATTTTCGACAGACCTTCGGACAAGGGCTTGGAAAGGAACTTGGCGGAGCAACATCGCCTAGGCACTCAGCCCTTGCCAATTACAGTTGTGTGCGACAATATACGGGAGCCGAACAACCTTGGCAGCATAATTAGGACCTGTGCAGCTCTGCCCTGTAGCCAAGTGGTGGTGACCCAGGGCTGTTGCGATCCCTGGGAGTCGAAGGCCCTGAGAGGAGGTTGTGGCGGTCAGTTTCGAGTGCCGATCCGGGATGATGTCCAGTGGGAGGAGCTCTCACTGGTCATTCCACCAGAGGCAGCCGACGACTGCCATGTTTTCATTGCGGAGAGCAATCAACAGAAGCGGGAGAGCAATCAGACCATCGATTATGCAGAGATCAAGGATATCGGAGCCCACAATTTGCTCATTATTGGCGGAGAGAGTCACGGGGTCAGCGAGGAAGCTTACAGGTAAGGCGTGACACATACCAAAGAGTTATAAACCAAAACGTATAATTTATTTTCGGCAGTTTCTTAAACCTGGTTGGACGCAAGGGAAAGTGTGTATATATACCCCTGGCAGCTGGAATCGATAGTTTGAATGTGGCCTCTGCTCTGACATTGTTGCTCTTTGAGCTGCGACGAAAACTTAATAATCAGACGACAGATAAAGATTAAGTTTGCAATGCCAAGCCTAAAAAAAAGTATTTCGTTGAAAAATAAAATTGTTTAATTACATAATTGATTCCTCATGTGTTTTTACTTTTTGCTATAGTAAAGTCGGAGGCACTAATATGGAAGTATTAAATAATTAATAATTTTCTTTGTGTCATAGACATAATATAAATTTATTGCTAGGCTGTTTCACAAATAGAGTAGTTATCAGTTACATTAAATTCAACTATTAGCTTCTATTTCCTTGTAAACCTCCCGCTTGTACTCGTCTAGACCACCTTCGATTGCTCTGACTGTGCGATTGCCACACACCCAGAGTTCCTTGCAGACGACCTTGATGAGGCGTTCGTCGTGGGAAACCAAGATGACGCCGCCCTGCAATAGAAAATTATTAACTTGTGTTGCAAATTGTAAATATAGTTATTTACCTTAAAGGCGTTTATAGCCCGGCCCAAAGCATCAATAGTTTCAATATCCAAGTGATTTGTCGGCTCATCAAGGACCAGGAAATTGGGTTCCGCTATTAAAAAATATAGTTGACAAATTAAAATGAATGTTTATCTAAATGGACTGTGAGTATCTAACCCATGCACATCTTCGCCAAGGCCACGCGTGATTTCTGTCCTCCAGATAAGCTGGCAATGCTCTGCAGTGCCAGTGGTCCGGATAAGCCAAAGCTTCCCAACTGCCGGCGATACTCCTCATCCGGGCGTCCGGGAAACAGTTCGGCCAGTACTCCCACACACGTCACATTCATGTTCAGATGGTCCACATGGTGTTGAGCAAAGTATCCAATTCGAAGGCCGCGATGCAGGACAATGTTTCCATAAATAGTGCTTAGCTGGCCGACTATGATCTTCAGCAGCGTCGACTTTCCCGCTCCGTTTTCTCCAACAATGCAGATTCGCGAGTCCGATGTGGCAGACAGATTCACGCCCTTAAAGATGGGCAGCGGATCTTCGGGGTTGTATCGAAACGTTACCTCCGAAATGGCCAGCACAGGAGGATTGAGGGGCTCTACTTCGGGGAATTTGAGCGTAACGACGGTTTCCTTTTCCACTGGTTTAAGTTCGGGCCTGTTAAAAAAGCAAAAAAAGTAATTTTATAAATGAGTTAAATACAATATTATCAGGGGATGCAACATATAGAACTTTTGCCTTGTCAAACTCTTGCATTATTTACTTACAGTTTTTCGAGCATTTTAATTTTGGACTGCACGGATGAGGCACGATTTGCGTTGTAACGGAAGCGATCGATGAAATCCTGGACATGGGATCTGTGGGCCATCTGAGCCTCGTACTCACGCCTCTGGGACTTCAGCTTTTCCGTCTTTGTCTTCTCAAACTGCTCATAATTTCCCCTTGAAAATAATTAAATAGATTAAGAGGTACATTTTAAATTGTTTTGAATAAAGCTACTTGTATGCCTCGAGTTCCTGGGAATGTAGATGTATAATGTCCGTCGGCACAACGTCCAGGAAGTTGCGATCGTGGGAAACCACAAGAATGGTGGTGGGCCACGTCTGCAAATAGTTCTCCAGCCAGATAATGGCTTTGATGTCCAACATGTTCGTCGGTTCATCGAGCAGAAGTAGATCGGGTTTTGAGAAGAGTGCCCTGGCCAGGGCTAGACGCATTCTCCAGCCACCAGAGAAGGATTTTGTCGGACGCAGTTGCATGTCGGCGTCAAAGCCCAACCCCTTAAGTATCACAGATGCTCGGGCGACGGCCTTGTCCGCCTCGATGTTCTGCAGAGCCACGTAGGTATCGCTCAGCTCGTTGGACAGCGCCGCGTCCTGAACGCCATTGTTCAGCGCAGCCAGGATCTCCTTTTCCCGGGTCAGTAGCCTCGTTCGCTCAGTATCGCACTCCAGCACGCTTTCCACGGCGGGTGTGTCGTCGCCCACAACCTCCTGCTCCACGTGCAGCACCGAGATGTGCGAGGGGATCTGCAACTGGCGCTCGGCAATCATCCGCAGGAGAGTGGTCTTACCCAGGCCATTGCGTCCCACCAGACCATAACGGCGTCCAAAAGACAGCAACAGATTTGCATTCTGCAGGAGAACTCTGGCGGGGATTAACGAAACTTTATGGTTGGTCAACTACTCAGCTTCATTGTCTTACTTTTCGCCAAATGCCAGATCAAAGTTTTCGATCTTGATGTCCATGGACCGATTAAGGCCCTTCTGGTCCAGCTTGGTGTTCTTCTTGTTGGTCACCTGAGAGGCTGTGGCCGTTTGCAGTTTCACCGCCACGGGAATCATTCCGTGCTTGTTCACCTCCTGTCGCTTCTCCTGCTTCTGCTGCAGTTTCGCCTCCGCCTTCCCCAGCTTTTTGGAGTCTACTTTCTGGAAGAGCAAGAGAGATTCAGGCGGTTATTCCTCAGTCGATTGGATTCCCATTCCACCAGGCTTTCGAGTCTCAAGCTGTCTGGCTGAAAGTTTCCAGAAATTGGATTCTAGTTAGCCTGCAGTATTTGGATGACTAAAATACGTCTATGACTATTCGGCCCTGGCAGCTGTGTCCTGCAAATGTAGCTATGTAGTTCAATAAAACAAAAATGGAGTAATATAAACAATAAATTGTTATAAAAAATTTAAAACAAACTAAAGAACATGATAAATGTTGACCAACCAAACTAGCCAGAGCTCTCTGCCTAGGCATAATCCTATTCCCAGCTGGATCCCACTCACATTGCCTCCGTCCTTGTTCACCACCCAGATGCTCTGCATGTCCTTGTCGAGTCGGTCCATGTTCCTGGCCATTTCCTCGATGTTGACCGGCGCATTAAGAACCTTGCGCTCCACGTTGACCCCGTTGTGTTTCATGATGTTGAGAAACTGCTCGCACAACTCCCGGACGCTCTCTTCCGACCTGTCGCAGTCGACGCTCTGCAGGATGTCGCCCACGGCATCGAAGATATCGTCGCCGGTGTCGAAGTCTTCCTCGCCTGCGAATGCGAGTGCGGGGTTAAGATTGAAAGATCAGAAATCGTGGGACCAGGAGGCTCTTACTTCCGGTGAGTACGCCCACAACATAGGTGAGCAGTTCGTGATCGATTTTCGGAAACTCGCGCTGAAGAATGCTCGTGTACTCGCTCATTGTGACCTTGATTGCAAAATAGGTTTCTGAACGTGTGGCAGTCGGATATTAATTGACTTTTCCGACTTTTACTCCACAAAAACTTTTTTAAAGGGGGGTTAGAGGTGGGGAAACGTCGATAGAAACAGTGATGCATCGATATTTTTATAATGTTTTGGAAACATCGATGCTTGACTTATTCATCGATGTTTTCGTATTTCTAGTATTTATGTACAGGGTATTCAACTGTTGAATTGTTGAAAATTAAAAAAAATTTTCATCAATTAGGGGAACGACCCTGCCTAAATTGCCTGCCTAAAATTGTATTGTTTTTTCGTATTTTTTTCGCTATTCTGCATATAAAAACAGCAATGTTTGCAGAAAAGTCTCAGAATATTTTCTGCTCTTCGTAAATAATAATAACAAATATTAATTAAAAGTGCACTATGTACTCCTATATAGGATATGCTATGTTCAGATATGATTTTGAACTATTATCTTATGCTTTTTATTGTATTCTTCTACAATAAGATTCGGAGAACGCAATTTTACGACAGTTTTCCCGAGTTATGTTGAGATGAGCAACTGCTCTTCAAGTCAGCTGTTATCGGATGCTGGATGGTGGATGTGCTCTGTGGGAGCACGAGTTTCACATTTGTCAAAAATCTCAACCGTTTCACACGGATGGACTCTATGGAAAGAGGCTAATAATTTCAGTCAGATGTTTGCAACGCACATAAATATATTCTTGATGAAACTTTTCCAAAAGTCTTTTTTCTGTTGCAGGTAGTACATTTGAATTTCGGAATAAGCCGGATCGGACCACTATATCTTTTGGCTCCAATCGAAAAAAAAACAATGGAAAAACATTATAATTTTTTCGTTTTGTAGTAGGCTTTTTTAAAAACACCATCTAAAATAAAATAAAATAAGGCAACAGACCCGTCCCGTCAATTAAAAGCAAACAATGGCTGACCGCCAAGTTGTTTTTGCATGTAAATCCTTATTCCGCGACATTGTTCGGCTCATTCATTAGAGCATTTATTAGAGGCTTAAAAAGGGACAAATATATATACTGGATTTTCTGAATTCGAAGGCACGGTCACACTAATTTTAAAAAGTAAACAAAACAAAGCCGACTAAAATGTCTAAAAATTTGTTTTCGGATGAAATGTGCGATTATCTAATTTGTTGCGTCCACGCAAACGAAGCTATATGGAACCATGGCAGTCCTAGGTATAAAGTGAAGCACTTGAAAGTCGACTTTTGGCAAAATCTGGCCGAAGACCTCAATTCAAAGTTTTTCCCAGCAGTTTTGATTCAGTCAGGTAAGTCAATTTTCTTTTGCGTGGTTATATATTTTGTTAATTATAAACTAAATATGTTATATCTTTAGCTGATTGTAATCGAAAATGGAACAACCTAAAATCCTACTACATTTACGAGAGCAAAAAATTGTTAAAGGCAAAGAAAAGTGGAGCCGATGCTGAGACTTTGGAGGCTCTAGACCAGTGGAAGCACAAGGCCAAAATGGAATTTCTGTCGGGACTTAGTACTCCACTAGCCTCTGTGAACAACTTTACTAAGAGAAGCCTTGATGTAAGACGATTATCATTATTAAAGTACATTTTTGTAACCAATCTTGTGTAGATGTTGGACGATTCCACTTTGGATATGGACGAATCCTTAACAGAAGCGGAAATGAGCTCGGTGTCCAGCGGATATAAAGCAACTTCAACCAGTTTTAAAGCCGGAAGACACCATGCGACCAAAAAAAAGAGGGCTTGTGTCGAGGATAGGTATACCGTAGCTCAGGCCTCAGTGGAATCAGCAAACCATATTATAACTGCTGCGCAAAAAAAAGACACTGGGGATAATGGACTATTCTATTTCACGGAGTATCTTCGTGACAGCTTATCTCGCCTGGATCCTGATCTCCAGCTAAAAGCGAAGAGAGTGTTTTCGGATACCGTGCTGGAGCTGGAGAGTATGCAGTTAAACAGGAATAATGACTAACCATTTTTCGAATAAAAATGCCATACTTTTATCTTTAGTTAATATGTTTTAATTTTAAGATTTACTAAAATACGTTTCAAACTGGCCTCTTATTTGCTCTGCTTTTTTGTGCTCCTAATGCTCCTGTGGTCCACTAATATATCCTGAAAGCTTACAGCAAGGATATTAGTAAGATCGGTTGGGCCAAGAAAGTCTGAAACAGCTTGGGACCTCTCCTCAATTAAGAAATTGTGCAAACATACGCATGTAACAACAATTTGGGCACATTCCCTGGGAGTTCTGTTAATTGCCTGAAACAAAACCTGGAACCGATTGGCCAGTATTCCGAAAGAATTTTCTACCACTCACTGATTCCTCGACAGCATGTAATTGTAATGTTGGCGGCATTCGGATTGCTTGGTTTGAGTGTACGGTTTCATCATGTATTCTGTTAGAGGGAAAGCATCTTCTGCGACGAATACGTATGGTAGAACGAGCTTCATTTGCCTGAATGGCATATCTTACGTCCGAGTGCAGCCAAAGTCCCGCATCACCCATGCGACCATTCGCTCCTACATCCGCGTATATGAATTTGTAGTTGGCGTTTACAATGGCCATTAAAATAATCGAATTAACTCCTTTATAATTAAAATAGCACGATCCTCCGCTTTTTAAAGATCGAATTTTGCAGTGTTTTCCATCGATGGCACCTATGCAGTTCGGAAACCCCCACTGTTTGTAAAACTCCTTCGCTGTATTTCTCCAATCGGATGTGGATGGAAAGGAGAGATATTTCTTGTTCAGGTTTTTGAAAATAGCAGGGGTTGTTTCGATCAATCGTGGAAATAGAAATCGTGGTTTGGTGGATCCGTAACTGCAGCGGCGTTTGAGTTTCCACTGTTGCTAAATAGCGTAGGGTGACCTGCAACCGTTCCGTTGGTCCAATTCAGCTTTTATAGGTGTGCCTTGCTTTGAGACCAGAGGCTGCACTAGCTCCAAAATAGTTTGGAACTGGTGAAGCGTCATACGAAGCACAGTGATATAAATCCTGGAGTCCTTATCAAAAAAAAATCTCCGGGAGAAGATTATGCGAAAACCCTGAAAATTTTATTACATGTAAAATATTACAAAATAAATTGTTTTTATTTACGTACCTTCTTGGTCGCGGCCTAAGAGCCAGGGCACTGACCACATTTTTCTAGCTATTTTCTTCTTTTTTATACTCATGTGAAAACAGCATCAATTCTTGTTTGTGGTTGAATCCATTTCACGAAAGTTTTAATGAATGAGCAAAATTGTATTTTTTAGATTCAATTCATCGGTCCAGGTAGTACCGTATAAAAATATTCTTGAATACCAAAAAAAAACCAAAAGTGTCCATCGGTTTTTACAATTTTGCTCATTAATTGCTCATTGCAGCCGACATGGTGAGAAAAATTGCTCTAAGGAATGAGCCGAACAATGTAGTGGAATAACCGCATTAAGAATTTGCGGTCCACCGAGGATAATTTTTTTGCGAATTTTTAGAGTCTCCTTAAGTAGAGTATTACCAAATATTATTTCGTAATTTTTTCCGTAACTCTCACAAAACTCTATTGGTCATTGGTTTTCAAACCAACCGTCCGCCCTGTGCACTATGGGAAAAGAGTTGACTTATATTAGGGTAACCATACTAATACCGCTGTTATCGATATACCATCGACGGATTGCCATCTATGTAATGTTAACATTAACTGTTAAACCAATTGCATAAAATTCCGGATTTCTTTCGACAGATTGCATGTTAAACGCCTAAATCTACCGATATGCTGAGCAAAACTTCTTTAATTGGTGCCATGGTGCGAAGGTCCTTTGGAACCAGTCAGATGATGAGGGAGACGATCAAAAACCACGAGCCCAACAACCTGGAGCGCAAAATGTTGGTCTGGACCGGTAAATATAAGACAGCGGCCGAAGTTCCCAATTTTGTTAGGTGAGTGGGGATTAAAAGAGGAGAATGCAACAGGTCTCTGATATTTATAATACTAATTTGCAGTCAGGATGTCATGGAGCGCTGTCGCAACAAAATGCGCATTCGGCTCGCCAATATAATGATCGCACTTACAGCTGTTGGCTGTGCCATAATGGTATATAGTGGCAAACAGGCCGCCAAACGAGGAGAATCAGTAACTAAGATGAATCTTGAGTGGCACAAGCAATTTAAGGATCCCCAGGAGAGCGAAGGATCTGCCCCGGCCGCCAAATAGAACACACACCAAAGTCGCACCTCCACCTAAAGGGAAACCGCTCGCCGAGAAACATTTCAATCTTCAAAGAACATTTAAGAGATTAAATTGTACTCTTAGGGCTGTTCACTCGTCCGCAAATTAAATTTAAATCATTTTCGATACATTTGTAGGGTTTAAACCAAATTTAATATTTATTATGCAGACGAGAAAATGTCCTTTAAAGCTTAAAATCATAAAAATTAATATAGCTTGTTCATATTTCCTCCCCCTTCTTAGTTCCTCAAATAACCATTGTATATATCGGTTTTAAACACCATTTACAGAGCCTAAATTAATTTAAAATTATATGTTTCCACTGGAATCTATAAAAACTCTTGAAATGCGCAGCTTTAATATCTCAGCAACGAGTCAAAATCCTTCGGTTCAGAAAACACTTGTCCCTAAGTTTCTGCACATAGTAGTTATATGTTCAGTGATATTTGCAAACTTAAAGTTAGATGTATTACCAAAATGAATAAATATTTTATGAAAAAATTATCTGGGCAACTTAAATACCTTATCATAAATATTAGTAAGAAGAAAAACAATTTATCTGTAGCAATGCGGATAGGAAAACTGTAATATAGAAACAAAATTAATGTCTCAAATTTTCCAGATTTGGTAGTGCCATTACAATTCAAAAAATTTTACTTTCTTTATATTTTAAATATTTAACCGCTTATAAATTCATAGCTTTCTATGATATATATACCTACATACATAAATTGTGTTTATTAACACCATTAAACATGAAATGGTTTTCATTTTTATGTGGATATAAAAAAGACTAGGGACCCTAAAGAAGAGTTATTTGAGACTTTAATTTTAAAAGGCCTACTAAGAAATTTAAGGTGTGTTTAAAAGAGTGTTTAAAAAATCGTATTGCTAGGTGACAAAGAAATATTTTCGGGATAAAATTGGGTGGAATTTAAGCGTACACTAATACAAGTTATCCATGAAGCCTGGCCAACCATGATAGAGCTATTAATAAACAAGAAAGGAAGCTACCTTCGGCCAGCCGAAGCTTATATACCCTTGCAGATAAAGTAAATTATTACAAAGTTACAATGAATTTTCTTATATTTTTTTTGAATATTCCTATGGGAGCCTTAAGATATAGTGGTCCGATCCGGCTCGCTCCGACATATGTACTACCTGCAATAGAAAGGAGACTTTCGGGAAAGTTTCATGGCGATAGCTTTAAAACTGAGAGACTAGTTCGCATAGAAACGGACAGACGGACAGACGGACATGGCTAGATAGACTCGGCTACTGGTGCAGATCAAGAATATATATACTTTATGTGGTCGGAAACGTCTCTTTCACTGCGTTGCAATCATCTGACTGAAATTATAATACCCTCTGCAAGGGTATAAAAAAGTAATTTTTTGATTAAAAGTCAACAGTGCGTATTAGTGATTTGCTTTGTAGCTAACGCTTGGGATCTTAAAGTAGCCTTACAATTTACACTATGCAACATCTAAAATTTACCTCGATGGACGCTATATTTATACCAGTTACTTGTAGAGTAAAAGGGTATATTGTATTCGCGCAAAAGTATGTTACAGGGAGAAGGAAGCGTTTTCGACCTTATAAAGTATATATATTTCTGATCAGGGTCACTAGACGAGTCGATATAGCCATGTCCGTCTGTCCCTCGGTCTGTCGGTCTGTCTGTCTGTCTGTATGAACGCTGAGATCTCGGAAACTACAAAAGCTAGAATGTTGGGATTACCCACATATATTCTTGGGCTTCCTATGCAGCGCAAGTTTATTTCAGCCGCGTCACACCCCTCTAACGCCCACAATCGCCCACTAACGTTTTTCAAATGTGTCTGGCGCCCACACCTTTAAAGATTTCCGAGAAGTATACATTTTGTTGTTTATATTTATACCTATCGAAATGTAAAAGACATTTTTCAAATCGGACCATTCATTAAAAAGTTATGCGCCATCAAAATTTTATATATCCATCTCCCTCGCACTCCTTTTAGCTGAGTGACGGATATTAGATAGTCGGGACACCAACCCGACTATAGAGTTCTCTCTTGTTTTGAATTCGTTACGAATACACAAGTTAAGCTGCGTTTTCCAAAAAGTTACCCGACGTTGTTCTTAGCACAAGGACCTAAAAGTTCGAAAAATGCTGAAACTGGCTTACTTTCCGGAGGTCTCAGAGGCAAACGGATTCTTTGTTTGTTTTAATGTTAAAGTTTTTCAAAAGATACACTTTTTATCTTTAAAACCCCATACTTAAAATAATTTTAGGATTTTTTTAAAGTGAGAAGCAAATCAAAGAAAACGTTGTAAAAAAAGCAAACAGCTGCGGTCAAAGTAGTAGTAGTGTTGCCACCCAGTGATTTTAAAAGTTTGTTGTTGTGCTTCTTGGAAAACGCAGTGTAACTTGGGAATTCGTAACGAATTCAAAAATATAGCATCCATCGAGGTAAATTTAAAAAGCATTCATTTTGCTGCACAGTGTTATTGAAGGGAAATTATTCTCCTATTTCTAGATTAGATAATGCCATAGGACGATCTTTCCAATCTATTTATCTATATATTTTTTTAACATCTGGCGAATACATTACTCTGCTCCCAAAATGGTCGTAAACTTAAGGTTTTTAATCATCATATCATCTTCACCTTATCGATCACATCTTTTGCTTTTACGATGGGAGGTAGAGTTGTTAAGGTTAGTTTAGTCAATAAACTTTGTAGTATTTCGATTCCGATTTCGCTGAACTGCCTTATCCTTGATAGGAATACAGTGATATGTGTATTACCAATAAATATTTTATCATAACACAGTTGAAAGGCAACATTAACATCTGTTCTGATTCTGTTTCGCTTTTCAGTGGCCACCACTTGCTCTATAAAGTGCGCCGACTCCGTGAGTATTTTGGTGCTGTCCCGGATTCTGGTTCGGATTCGGATGATACTGCCGACGGTCGGAGGCGCTGGCGCTTTTTGCTTTTCACTTTCAGTTTGTCGAGAACTGTTTGTCTGAACGCCTCAAAGAAAAAGCTGAGCGGAGCAAATAGCGGGACGCAGTTTGGCCAAGTTTTTGTAGAAACCGTGCGTGCAGGAAAAGCTGATCAAAAAAAATATTTTTCCAAAAGAAAAGGCCAGAAAAGAATTTCCCACAACCAAAGCGGGGAAAATGTACACGAAATAGTGCGGAAAAATGTGCGGCTAACGGAGGGAGGCGGAGGAGTGGGAAAAGTGTAAGAGGCGACAAGTGTAAAATGTAATAAACCGAAAGGTGTGCGTATGTATGTATGTGTAAACAATTTCGCAGATTCCTCAGAGAAGCGCGTAGGAGATAATGAAAGAAAGTCAACACAAGTATTAAAAAACCATAAAGCAATTGTTTAATCAAACATCAACGAAACGAAAGCAGATTGCCTGCCCAGAAAATCCATAAAAAAAGAGAGATTTTCCTGTCTGTCTCTCTTGTTTGTGTGTGGGAGTGTGTTTCGGTGTGTGTGTGGCAATATTCGTTTGCTTTTTTGATTTGTGAAAATGTGTGTATCCGCGAATGTTGCTGTTGTTGGCTTTGTTGTTGCGGTCGTTCTCTCTGCAACAACAACAGCCGTAAAAAATAACAGAGACGAACTAGGAAAAAATAGAAAATTGTCATCCAGTTTTACCCGCACATGTCCTTGCCAAGTGGTTAAGGCATTTATAAAAAACGGGTTTTAATTGCACCTTACGGGGTGCGTGCAACACAACAACAAGTAGTTGCTCTTGTCTAGTTGGCCTATTTAAAACCTCCCCCACACAACCTCTCGGCAGCCCACTCATCATATTAATTTATCCAGAACCAGGCCAACAAAAATAAAAAACAACAACTCAACATGTTAAAAAAGCGTTGAGCAAACAAAATACATAACGGTCGGCCGTAGGAAAGTGAAGGTCGTCTGTAGGAGAGAAAGAGAGAACGAGGCAGCCAGGAGCAACAGGACACTGGAAAAAAATGCACGCCATGAAATTCTAGTGTAAAAAATCTCTAGTTTTTCTTTTTTAAATATGATACGCTGCTGAGAAACCGATAAAACGTATTTAACAATAAATATGAATATTGAAAATATTTTAATTATATGGAATTTGTATGTATGTATTAGGCACTTTATCAATTAATTTTGTTCCTATTTTACTATGAAACTACAAACTAAAAATTAAAATAGAGGAAATAAAAAATTGGGAGACTAAAAACATCCATTGTAAGGATAATTCTAAAGCTTGTCCTTTCCCTCAGTGCAACAGCTGCAGTCCATTTGCTGTCGTAAATGTGCGAAAAATCCTTGGCTTGGTTTTTGGCGCAACAACAAAGCCGCACTAATACCAGCATCACAGATGCACACACACAGGCTTTGTCTCTGTGCGTGAGTGGGGGTGCGTGTGTGTGTTTTTGTGATGACGCGTTTAATGCAGCAGAAGCAGCTCAGTCAGTAGTTGTTGTCATGCTATCATTATAGCTTAATGCACGTGAGCACCTAATGCGGTTATTTAATCAATTCATCCTGATTTATAGTTAAATTACAATATGAGAGCTGTTGTCTTATATCCTTATAAAACAAAAACTTAAATGAAGTAAAAAAAAACATTTTTCACATTTTAAAAAACTATATTAAATACCTAAGTTACGTTATGGTTAAGTTTTAATTTAAATAATTTTGCTAGGTAAAAATATGTGTACTCAGTTAAATTTGTATTTTATTTCACAAATTTTTTGGCAGCCCTAGTAATCTCCCACACAATATACATTTCTCACAACCCAATAAGCACATACAGTGCACACTGGGCCAGAAAGTTAATTTTTTGGCCAAAAATCTGTAATTTCTTTCCTAGGACAGTTAGAAGGATGCAGTTTTTTGCGTTTTTTTCTTAAAAGATTGAACTTTCCAACGAACTAAAAGTAAAATTTCTTGGAATTTTATATGATATAGATAATCCAGACCAAAGTCGGAAAATTTTACGTACTTTTCGGTTTTTTATTTTTAAAAAAATAACTAGAAGACGCACTTCTTTCATTTTCGAAAACAATAAAGTATGAGATAAAACAAACTAAAAAAAATTAACATCACTAAAAAATATTATGTCGTTTAAGATTTATG